TTTTTTCAGGGAGTGTAGTGGCGCCTGTGAGGATCTAGACAACAGAAGCTTCCACGCCTAGATCGCCCTAGATGGTAATCATTATCTTCTTCTTTTTTTCCCGCGATCCTCCTCTTCCGATAGGTCTCCTACCAGAGGGAAGAAGTAAGGGACATAGTGCGTATCCATTTTGCAGCGCAGCCGCAATCGCTCCTCTAACAAATACAGCCTATTGGGGCGAGAGGCGACGCCCTCTCGGGGTGACGGTTTAGCTGTCGGCGCCGCATTTCGTACAGATGCTGTGTAACTGGATCAGATAATTCCTTCGCTCTTTATCCTTGCTAGGAATATGCCGAACTAGCTGTGGGCGGCGGGGCTATGCTTCCAATTCCGATATGTTTTTTCTGTCCCCGTAAAAGCTGATGGCATACTTCCCTGTGAAAGGTCACAAGGAGTGGCTTGGATGCGTTGGTGGTCACTATAGGTATGGCATCCAAGGTATGCTGTGTATGCCCAAGGCAGAAAATAGAAATGGAGCAAACTAGTAATGTTCAACGAAAATAATCCCTTCTATTGCTTGAATTGTCGACGACTTGTAGTACTGCTTCGGGTTGTAAAACCCGAATGTGTTGTAAGGTAATGTGGCTAGCCATGGTGCTGATGTGGTCGCTCGGCATTCTATTCCTGCAAGCCTGCCAAGTTAGGTCTGCATCTTGGGCATGATCGAAGACACCAGTAGTGCTCGGATCTCATCCAACCGCATCCTCATTCTTAGGGTTAGAGTAAATCGACGAAGATGTTTCTGTACATCGTAGGCCGGCTAGACGATAATGTGAGTTGGCATAGTTGGTATTCAACAGTAGCAACTAAACCTTGAAAGGGAATTAACGATGTCCACGATGGTTTTCATATTTCCATTTCCGGTCCGATCTTTCGATTCGTCCTGGAGACTCGATCGACTTTATTCGAATTAGCTGAGGCCAAGCGAGGCGAGCAAAGTGAATAATCCAGCAATGTAAGACGGCCTCCCAGGCTGAAGTTAGTTACTCCGATCCATCCAATTCGGGCGCCGCTCAGGTAGGTCATGATAATGAAGCCATAGATCTCATTTACCGAATTCGGGACGTTGGGAATCCTGCTTCTCTCACTTTGCGAAAAGGAGATCCTTCGCGATAATGTTGAATGTTGAAAATATGCCGGCTTCAGCGCAGCATCTTTATCTCTTAGGACGCAACCCTCTTTTGTTCTTTGACGCGTAAGCAGGGACTCGGTTTTGACGCAGTTCTCGGGCAGCCATGTCTCCTCCCGTGTCCCGGACTCGAACGGACGACCCACCACGGACCCCCAACTTAGAGATGGGACTTCACTCCTAGAACTGAGCACTTCGCGGGAAATCTACCAATAAACTCCGCTATGCTTAGACTTTGGCCATTCCACTGATGGCCGATTCGAGCACAGGGATAAAGTATGGGGAAGATACCGTGCTCCACCGGGCGTCTTTGATAGTGCTTAGCCCTATGAGTGTTGGTGAGTTGGCCTACTACTTTCTTCATAAAGTAATAGTAGTCCGATTCAGCACCATCGGAAAGGACGGAGGTAGCATTCGCCGAATACTACTAGACCTCTCCGCTTGGATATGGATTCTTTCGATATTGCCAACATACCTAGGTACCTACCTAGCTAGCTATATAGGTATATTAGGTACTTAACTTAGTTAAGTTTAATAATATATATTTACTTACCTCTTGGGTGATATAAACGTATCAGGTAACCACTTGGTAGATTGTCTCAATTCCTAGCATAGACTCTAGAGATCATATACTATAGCACCTAATTAGCCCTTGATTAACATGAAAACTCTCTATACGATGACTTACGTAAATCGGCGATGCAACTCTAGGCATCGGTGCTCACTATGTCCGTTCGTCGACGTCTGATGCCGATTTACCGATCTATGATTCGATGGCGCCGGCACTTGGGACAGAGATCGAGTAATAGAGCGCCTTTTCCACCCAGTCGGGACGCTTCCCCCTCCCCTTACATCGCTTACCACAGATTTCGGGCGTGCTAAGAAACGACTGCATAATAAGCATACGTAATCATATGGAGGTTGCGTGCTGCTTACCTGTCACATTACTTCTGACTCTATCACATATACAGAACCGACGGGAGGTGGACTGGATTACTTCACCTAAGCACTATTAATGCAGGCGGGAATCGCATTTTATATGCCCGATATATGGTTCTGAGTCAGTAGAGGCTAGCGGCAAATAGGGGGCATGCTGACGTTTGTTGGCGTTGCTAACGAGCAGGAATAGGTAGAAGTATAGAGATGCCGCAGTTATTTGCGGAATTCCAAATGTCTTATGTGACTGGCCCATATTTCATATCTACATTAATTATTAATCAAAATAATTGTTGCTTAGCAGCGTAAAGACAGTTGTGGTGCCCGGTTTACTATAGCATTTCTTAATATGATAATTACTTGGAAAGAAACTAAAGTTTCTTGGGAACTAGAATTTAAGGGGCATGTCTTCTATTAAATAAGAAGACGAGCAGAACCCCGCGTTTCTAAACCTGCTACGAAGACTAAATATAGTCGCTCTTTGCTATCGACCAGTAACAGTCTCTAAAGCATACGGGTGGCAGCCTAAAACAATAGAATACGTCGTACGCAGCCATGCACATTATAAGACATCCACGTAGCTTGAATTAAACCAGAATACACATGCTGCCATGTTTATTATGGGCTTGTACTGGGCTTGGAAAAGGAGCAATTTGTTTGGGTCAAGTAAGATACCTCATCGGGGCTGGCGGGTTCGTCTATACGAGATGTTCTATAGATCCAAAGACAAGCACATTTTTTCCCAATCTAGAACGCGTACTCACTGTTTACGTATGACCCTTCTCATATGCAGGCTTTCTGCAATATGACGGCTCGCGGAAGCAAGTGGGCGTAAGTAGCAGGGGAAAATCCTGCCTTGTTCGAGAGACGGCAGAGCCTTGAATGCCTGCCCCTATCGGCACCGAGACACTTGCGGTGAGTATATGTGCTCCGTATTTCTACTGTCTGCAGTGTAAAACATCCAAATAATGCTGCGGCAAGCGACATAGCCGCGCGTTCTCGTCCGACTAACTTATGAGTTATCATATGACGGAGAGGAGTGATTATCTCGAGCCGAACGAACTTTCTCACGGATATATCTATACGAGGATATCCGGTAGATTTGGATCCCTCCGTTGTACACTACTATACTGATTCGACTATACGCATGCCCCGAGGACGCACGTATCACAAGCCGGAGCTTCATGCCACCATTTCGGACTCCGTGGGAGGGGGGCGGTGACCGGACTGGTTGAGAAAGAGTGGATAATAGGAACCACCGACGGCGATGGGAAGAAGAATAAACAGTTATGAACTATGGACGCATTATAAAGATACATGAGAAGATTAAAAAGGGGTTTGCCTTTTGTGGAAGAGGATATTTGATGGCTAAGAGAAAGAACCCGGGGCCGACTACAACAAGCTGCGATACAACACTACCGTGTTTTATTCAGAGAGATTTTACGACATATTTCTAAAGCGCCGACAATAGTTTCAAGACTTGAGAAGGAGCAGATAGGAAGAGAGGGAAAATTGGATATAGGTTGCGCGAACTCGTCCTTTACATACCGAAGGCCACACGACGATGACTACCGAATCTTCAACTACTATAGCGCCGGGGTTACATGGGGTAGACTTGGATACGTACGGACAAGAGATGAACAATGGACCTAAGAGTGAGCGATAAGAAGGCTTAGCTGCCTCAGACTGTCTGATGGAGCTCTTGCAAGGTGTCACTAGGGCACTGAAGGAGTTAACTCGCCAACGAGAGATGACACTTGAACAAGCATAGCTAAGGCCATACACCAAGGACCAAAAGACTCGATTAACCTAGTGCCTAATCACAGGTGGAATGTAATTAATTATGGACTCTAACACACTTCAATTTGATAAGAAGGATACAACAGCTTAGGATTGGGATGGCACATAGCTGGAAGCAGACGTCTACACCTGGACTTGCCGAAATCCGAACAGAGAGCCCTATGGACGACGACAAAGGCCCTATGGACGACGACAAAGGCCCTACAGAACTATCATAACGGCTCGACCACCTGTTGTCGCCGCACCTATACTAAGCTTGATTAGCCTAAAGAGGGGGTAAGGACCGAGCACTACGAGCTTCCCTATCCTTGATAGGATATATACCAAGCTCCTGGTCCCTAGATTATAGGCAACCCGAGTAGACTCATATAGGGTCATAGGATGTCGCTCTAGCACCCCTCGTTGGCGATCACCGGGCAAATACAACTATCAAATGGAAGCTATGGGAGGAAGGCTGCAAGCCACCACTCGAGTTATCCCTCCCAACACGTGGTGCTGTCAGAGATACCCTTTGATGGTTGTCATACACAGAGTGAATGTCAGGATAGATAGTAGGTATTGAACTAGTAACGCTTGGCCTTCTATCCTCTTACGAGGGCGCTGCGCGCCCCTTATATAGTAGATAGACCCCTGTAGCTACCCCTAACCCCCTTATACCCTGACAGGTGCAAACGTTAGCAAGATAATAGAATATTAGACTCACGTGCTGCGGATCTTTTATCCTTTATACACTACAACATAAAAGACGCCTTTACAAAAATACAGGTCTTGATAGCTTAAGCTTCTTTCTGACTAGTGGGAGGAAGACGGCGCAAATAAATCGCAAGAATGAGAACCGTGCTATAGTATCGGTCCTTAACTTCCTAAAGATTACTCAGTTAGGTATTCCAAATATCAGCACCCACTACTCTATATTCTACAAATACTAGCTACAAGCATCAGTATATAAATAAAATAACCTACAAAGTAAAACCACAAGATAGGTTGGTCACATAGGTCATGTTATTGCTAGACACCTCGTACTTAACGCATCACTAGACTGAAACACACGCTCCCAAGAAGAATAGATATAAAATTTTATTCATTTCTCTTTTGTATCAGACAAAGGTTTTGGCCATAATTGACCATGATATAACGAGACAGCATGTGTAGTAGTAATGTCTCGAAACCTCGATTTCACCCCTTAAATGCTTGAACAACCCTTACCTAACACTAGGCGTAAATTCTTTGACGTAAAGAGATTGTTTTACGAAAAATGGTACTCCATCTTGCGTCATTTCTTGTTGGCTCTATATTAAAGAAGACTGCCTCTAGGTAAGTAAATACCTAACTACCTACCTATACACCATAGGCATTATGTATTCATTACTTCAATCATAGCTAGTCCTATGAGTACTTTACAAATTGCCCTCGAACTTATTTCAAATTAACAATGCCAACGCCCGAACAGATGTAGAACCTAAGAACTTCCCTTCAAAACCTGTCAACTATATCTTGGTCCGCTTCTTAACTTTGCGATACAGATCCTGCTCATCCGTCCAGGCATCTTCGAAAGCAGTTGGTAGTTGCTTAAAATGCTCATCTCTGTGGCCTAGGTACCGTACCATTTGGAACGCGCCTGTACCAACTGACATAGTCTGTCCCATGATGATCTTCTCACTCACGCCCTCGATACGATCTGCCTTCATTCCAGCCGCGGCATCGAACAGGTGGTCTGCCGTCTTCTCAAATGATGCTAGTTGCAATACGCTGTCTCGCATCTTGGATAGACCGAACCGAGTAATACCAAGAACCTCACCCTTATACGTCATGACGTCGGCTAACAGCTCCATATGTCGCGGATCGATGTCCATATCGCCCATGACACTCGAGATTTCTGCGGCGATGGTACTTCGTGCTGCTTCGATGCCAAGGACGTCCCGACATTCAAGAATGCTGTTCGTACGGACCTTGGTACCGATAACACCTTCAGTATTTATGCACTGTCGGAGACCATAACCCTCGACTAGTACGGTATAGTAGTTGATTTTATTGTCTTTCTTGTCTTCTTCAGTCTGGATGATTGCACGGGTAGCATCTGGATATCCAGAGATTGGAACTGACGGCAATACACGCTTGAGGTGGCTCACTCGAACGAGCAAGTCAGCTGCCGCCTCTGCGATCGCCGCTTTGCTTTTGGGTGCTCGTTTGGCCAAGGAATCAGCGTCTGGGGGTCTCACGGTTATCTCAATAGTTGCATCTTGTTCGAATACTTCAATATCCGAATCTGGGATCTTCAGCTTCTTTTGTTTGTAAATGGCGCATTTAATGTCCTCAAGGCCGATACCAAGATGCATTCCTTCTAGGGCCTCAGTGTTGATATGAAGGGTAATAAATGCCCTGTGTGGCCCCCATTCGTCATCAACGTATCGAATAATATCCTCGATATATGTCTTCTCAATTCTTGCTCTCACAAGATGTGCCACCTCAATCTGTCTATTGTTTTGCAGGGGACAGGTGATAACTGGCGTGCTGATCAACTTTGAGGCGTTGATGATTTCCTTGATACGTGGTACACCTTGTGTAATACTCATTCCGGCAACACCAGCAAAATGGAAAGTCTTCAGGGTCATCTGCGTTCCTGGCTCACCGATTGACTGAGCACCCACTGCTCCTACTGCATGGCCCGGTTCGACACGCGCTTTAGAATATTTCTCTAGGCATAGCGCAATGAACTTTCTAACCGTGCGTTCGGAGACCTTTGCGACCCTCTCCGACGCTAGTTTTGGAACTGCGAAGACTGCGCCCCTTTCCTTCTTGTGTATTGTCGCTAATGATCCATTAGGTTTGGTAAGCATAGGTTCGAGACCTCCAGCTGCTCGGAATTTAGATAACTTCTTCGCTAAACCCTCCATATGCCCATAGACGGTGTCGAGGAACTTTCGAGCACTCTCATGCTCGTCAATAGCATAGTCGCTGTCGTCTCTGTATTCTAGTGGTTCTCCGTGTAACAATCCTCGTCTCTGATAGCGGTCGCGTTCCTTTTTGAGGATGGAGTCGCAAAGCTCCAGGATCTCAAAAGGTAACAACGCTTTATCGGAATTTTTCCAAGTGAGATTTTCGGCATGGGACCAAGTTCGAGCGAAGTTGACTGGCACAGCTTTACCTTCCATGTCGACGGGATCGAGCTTGTCTGCGCCGAACTGGAATTGTACTACACCTCCGCCCGAGGTTCTGACGGTATCATCATATTGAGTTGAAAGATCTTCCAGCGACTTCATTAAACGACGAGACATATATCCGGTTTCTGCAGTTTTGACGGCCGTGTCGACCAGACCTTCTCTTCCAGAAATAGCGTGGAATAAGAATTCGGTTGGCACTAGACCAGTGTAAAAGCTGTTTCGAACGAACCCCTTTGCCGGGGCTTGGCGGGTGTTCTTATGGAAGTGTGGAAGGGTTCGATCTTGGAAGCCATCAGCTACACGTTTTCCACCGATAATTTGCTGTCCGACAACGGCAACCATTTGAGCGACGTTGATAACCGAGCCCTTCGATCCAGACGAAGCCATAATCCAAGGAGCATTGTTTTTACTCAATGTCTTGATACAATAGTCTCCCGCGGCTTGACGAACTTTGCTGAGGGTGCCGGAAATCTTGTTTTCTAATGTTTCTTCCATACTACATCCTGCTGCTTTCTGTAGTTTATTCGCATTGAATTGCTCGATAAAGACATCTGACTGTTGGTACGCATCCTCTACGAGCGCTTGCTTCTGTTCGGTAAGAGATGCAGTAGGGTAAACATCGCCGATACCGATTGAGAAGCCACGATTCGTCAACACTCGCGCACAGAGCTTGGCTAATCGATTCATCGTCGTTACGGCTGCGTCCGGACCAAAATCTCTTAGAATGACATAAAAAATAGACTCCTTCTTGCCTGCCCCCACAGTGGACTTGTCCATCCTGCCGCACATGACTTCCGAATTTCTCACAACTAGCCAGCCATCGTTCGGGCACATATCCGGGGCCGGAGGCTTTTGGCCTGGCTGAAGTGGCTCTGGCTCGGAGAATTCTTTGCACTTGGCATCAAGGTTGACTTTAACTGGTGAGGCCTTGTTCGGACGCATAAGCATACTGAAGACTTGCTTTCCAGTCCAAAGTCGCTTAGGAGCAAAAATAGCTGGAGGGGGAAGGTCGAGATGAGTGACACCGTCCATCATTTGCATCACTACATAGGTAAACGTCCTGCGATCGTAGAAATTATCTTTGCTACTAAGCAGATATGCAGCTGTAATGAAATCCTGTGTTGCTGCAATAATAGGCTCTCCATTCTTCGGCGTCGCTAGATTGTGCTTTACACCCATGAGTTCCATGGCTTCAGCACGAGCCTCTTCCGTCTGGGGAACATGGAGATTCATCTCGTCTCCATCAAAATCGGCATTGTATGGTCCGCATACACATTCATTGAGGCGAAAGGTTCTCCATGGTCGAACTTTGGCAAAATGGCTCATAATACTAAGTTTGTGAAGTGATGGCTGTCGATTGAACAGGACAATATCATTGTCCTCGAGATGTCGTTCAACTATGTCTCCTTCGCGCAAATCTCTGGCGGCTGATTCCTTGTCTGCAAATCTTAAGGACACTTTGAATGCCTGGTCACCGTCTTGTTTTAGGATGGCCTGGGCTCCTGGCCACACGTAAGGGCCGTTTAGTATGCATTGCTTTAGTTTATTGATGTTTGCGCGGTTGACTCTTTCGGGATATGTGAGGTTCTTGGCGACGAGCTCGGGTACGGCAACCTGATTAATAGCTAGGTTTGGATCGGGTGAGATGACAGTTCGACCAGAGAAGTCGACACGCTTTCCGGACAGATTACCACGGAATCGACCCTGCTTTCCTTTCAAACGCTGGCATACACCCCTCGTCGTTTTCATACCACTACTCTGTAGACCGGGAACATCGCTGTTTACATATACCGCAATTTGCAGTTGCATATATTCCCACTGTTCCATGATGGTCTGGAGAGCAGTGCCCTTTTCCAGCGCAGCACGGATGAGACCACATGCCCATACTATGTCTCCAAGACGGGTTGTCAGGTCGTCTTCATTACTCGCACCCTCCTGGGCTACGGATGGTCGAATGCACACGGGAGGGGCAGGGAGATATTGCCATAAGAACATTTCAGGCCGTCCCTCTGAAGGATCAAGTCCAAGTAACTCGCAATCGGTAGGGCTGATCTGCTTAAACAAATTCAGAACCCTGAGGGGATTTAAATCCTCAAAAGCCTTCCTCAAATGCTTATCAAGGTCGTGGACATGTTTCTTAGCCTCCAGAAAGGAGTTATCAAACTCAATCTTACTTGGCGGAGGCTGCTTCTTCTGTGACGTTGACTTATTGTATGCAACGAACTTGTCATGGACAATTTTAAGAGCTCCAACTTTTCTAATTTGACCATTCACCGCGCCACAGTATGGGCAATTCTTCGTCTTTCTACATTGCGTATTGATCTTTTTGCATATAGCGCTTCGTCGCATGTTGTCGATAAAAGGTCTTCTCAACTCCTTGAGAAACATTCGTCGTTCTGGCTCCGTTAACAACACCCGTGAGCAGTCTTTGCATATATTCTGCAAGATCGTTATCGTAAACTTGATATAACCGATGTGAAAGGCCGGTAGAGGTAGTCGGATGTGGCCAAAGTGACCAGTGCAGTCTTGTAAACGAAGGCCACATGTTGAGCATATACCTGTCTTGCTCGACGTCCCCTAGGAAAGACTAACATTAGTACTAATACTAAGCAAACCATCATTAATCATAGTAACTTACCAGTCTTTTGTCAAGTATACCATTCTGTGTTGGTTCTCTGCCCCTGTCAATATCGTACATAGTTCGATCGGAAACTTCTATGACAGCTTGATTGACAATGTCTTGATTAGACTGGATGCCGAACTTGATCTGCCTGAATTTCTTGGGAAGTTTATCCACGACCTGGTGTTTGACCGGCGCAGCCGAGGCGGTGATAGTGGTGGTAGCCATTTTCCGTAGTATTTACGACGGGCGCGTCGCAAGAAAGCTCTTTCGCGAGAGGGGTCTTAAGGTCAGTCGGAATCAGGTATTTTGTTGCGCGCCGCAATCGCTGTGAGTAGGAGACGATTCATTCCATACAGTAGTTGAAGTAAATCGTTAGGATAAGGAGGATAAGAGGAGGGTACAGTAAAAAGACCACTTGCCGCCACGTTGAAGTGTAGAAACGAAGCTCGATTCGATGGAAATGGAAATTTTAGTTTCGCGAAAACTCAGGCTACCTGAGATGCGGTTAGAGTCATTCTAGTTCGTGCCCCACCATCCTATCGGAACTGATAACTTGATAAGGGTGGGGTAAGCTTCGCAATTATGGCTTAGTGGGAAAGCCTCACAGCCTCATAGCGGGGTTACAGGTACTTTTATGCAGCGCGTGCAGTACCTCCATACAGGCTGTTAAACTTTATGTGGTCGTCATAGGCAGGGGTTGTTATGCTGCACTAAGGTGTCAATTTAAGGCTGACAAGGACAACAAGGTCCAATTACCATGTGATACATTTGTTCCCACGTGTAAATATTTCCTACATTCCTACATTCCTACCTACCAGATAATACCAACATCTTATTCTCTACTCCCCAAACGGTCTATTAACGGTCTAATAGTAAGCTTTATTCTATGTATATTATATTACTTTTCTCACCGAATTGCCCATCTCGGACCCAATAATTCCCAACCTTACCGACCCTATCTAAAGAGTTATAAGCGGGCCAGACGACCGATCTTAATAATAGATTTAACATATCTGACACTTGGCTTTTTGAGTTCGAGTTTCTTATTTATTACTTTATTTAACCGCTAGTCAAGTTGGCGGGTTCGCTGATTTGTCTCCCGCGAAGTTTCAGAAGTGTCCGTCTACCCTTACGACCTGTCAACAGTCGACTCTCCAGCGTGTCTAAGAGGCGGATCTTCGGATGGCCCCCCGGCCGCTCCGGTAAGATGCCCCCAGAAAGTAGCGATGTCAATGCGCCCAACGACAAGAAGGAGGTCAAGAAGGTAGAGAAGTCGTATCTAGCTAGTGCCGTAGATTCTATCAACCCATGGACTACGAATCGAAGCACTACGCCGACTCCGAAAGATGCCGCACCGAAGACGAGTCAGCCGGTACCTACTAGGAAAGCCGAGGACCATAGCACAAACACTCTTTACGGTCAGAGTTTCAGAAGATATCCATTGGACTGTCCACCGTTGAATGTTATGTGGTTTCATGCCGTGGATGTGAGTAGCATATCTTAACAGTTCTCTACCTTACTCGCAGTCTTCTGACATCTTGTGTTTTATTCTCAGGTCCCCAAACGAAAACCCAACTTTCTAAAGACGAAGAAGAAAGAAGACGACGCAGCCAAGCAAACGCCACCGAAGAAATTCGTCGCATTCTCCAAGAACGATTCCAGATCGATCGAAAATGCCTACCAGAAACTCTTGGAAGAGCTCGAGGACGAACGAGGCAAGGGTTCGAAAAACAAGCAAATTCGCTCAAGCTCTCAACGTAGGAGAGCTGTGTCGTCAGAGGATGAACATAATACCAGTATTGATGGGGAGAATAGTCCGCAACAAGGCGGTCTACGAGTCCCGGTTAATGAAGACTTCTTATTCGATGTTGACATAGAACAACGTGAGTTGGCGCCGGTATATTGGTTAGGTCCAATTTATGATGTCCGCCGTGGCACTTGGTTCTATCAAGAAGGGTCCACGTTGCGACCCTGCGAGGAGAACCTAGCAGCTCAGCTCGAGGAAGGCTACTTGAAAATCAAGCCATGGACGTATCCTGCACCAAGCATCCGCAGTAGCTCCGGAGTGCAGGATGTCACCCCTAAACCATCCTCGGAAAACCTAAAGGCAACCGCCAAGTCGCAGACTGACAGTTCACTTAAGTCTCCTCAGCTCCCAGTGCAACATCAACCGCAGACTTACCGGCTCTTCGGTACTTACATGAACAGTATAGCAACTTACCAGGACTCAAACACTGCATGGCTTTCCTCGGAGAGTGTCTTTTCCTGGGTAACATCAACGGTATATCAGAGGTTTGCTGGCGGTGGTTATATGAATGGCGTAAAACTTGTGCGTGGCTACTCAGAGCCTGGAAAGACAAAAGATGGGAAAAGACCACCTACTCCCACGACCGCCACTCTACCCCCCGAGAAAGTGGACGACAAGCAAGAGAAGTCTATCAAGCGAAGATCTGCTCCGCCTAGTACACGTTCAGAGGATACTTCAGACCTAGACAAAGAAGATGACGAAACTATAACCGAGGCTCAGCGCCGAGAGAATCGCCTAAAGCGGCAGTTTTCATCATTTATCGAAGCTTCTGATGACCCAGAAAAGCAAGATGAGCAAATCCGAAAGCGTGAGGAACAAGAAATCCAGGACGACTATAATGGACAGGACGGTGAAACGCAAGGACGTGACATCGAGCATCTTGTTCTCGTTACCCACGGGATCGGGCAGCTTCTAGGACTTCGGTAAGTATTTCTATACTACCGTAATGAATTCTAGCACAAATACTAATCCGTACTTCTAGGATGGAAAGCGTCAATTTTGTCCATGATGTTAACATGTTACGAAAAACAATCAAGGCGGTGTATGCACATTCAGCAGACTTGAAAACTCTTAATAAGGAGAATGATAACGGACCAGGTAATTGTAAAATCCAAGTTCTCCCAGTTTGCTGGAGACATTTACTGGATTTCCCCAAACGGCGAGAAAAGAAAGGCGAGACCGACTTAGGTGATATCGGAGACGAAGAGGATGAATGTAAGTATCCTACTCAAGACCTTTAACCCTCTAGCTATGAATTAACAACTCGCCAGATCCTTCTCTGGAAGATATTACTATTGAGGGGGTCGCATTTGCCCGTTCTCTTATATCAGACCTCGCTCTGGACGTTCTACTCTACCAGAGCGCCTACCGAGAACAAATTGCCGAGATAGTCCTAAAGGAGTCGAATAGGATTTATAAGCTCTTCATAGAGCGAAATCCCGACTTCAAAGGCAAAGTTCACATCGTCGGCCATTCATTAGGCTCGGCAATCATGTTTGATATCCTCTGTAGGCAGAAGGAGAGACCAAAACCACCGGAGACACCCCGTACCTCCCTTCGCTTCTGGCCCTCTCATGAACGGTTTGAACCCTCCCAAGATCATCGAGACCTTGCCTTCGACTTCGAAGTAGAAGACTTCTACTGCCTCGGCTCGCCGATTGGACTTTTCCAAATGCTCAAAGGACGTACCATTGCAGCCAGGAGCAAACCGAATGCTGTCCCATCCGAAAGTCCCCTCAACCCAGAATATGTAGAAGACCCATTTCTCACTTCTTCCATTGGGTCAGATCAACGCATTTCAGCCATTACGGGTCATCCATTCTCGGTATCATCGCCAAAAGCAGGACAATTGTTCAACATCTTCCATCCTTCTGATCCGATTTCTTACCGCCTAGAGCCGCTAATCTCACCAGCCATGTCATCCCTCAAACCCCAACTCTTACCCTATACCAAAAAGGGCATCTTCGGTGCCGTAGCCCCACAAGGATTATCAGGCCTCGGCGTCAAAGTAGGCCAGAGCGTCAGCGGGCTCTGGTCTAGTTTCAGCGCCGGCATCGCCAGCAGCATCCTTAACCGCAGCCTTGGACTAAGCAACGAAGACGTTGCAAACTTTAACGCCGCGAACAGCAATAATAATCCTTCGCAAACAATACCTCCCGGAGCCGGTACGAATATCGTTTCCGGCAGCGTGATCTCTGATACCAATGCGCAGTCCGAAAAGACTGACGCGCGGAAGAGGGCGCTGGCCCGCCAGAACTCATCCAACGGGCCAGGGGGTAATTCTAGCTACGACGCAACGCTCATCGACGATGATCTCGAGACGCTCTACGCCCGGTTCCAGAAGAAGCGCATCGAGGAGCATAAGAACAGCGCCAGTCGCGCCGAGGAGGGCCAAGAGCTTGGTGAGGCGTGGGCGGCCGAGGAGCGAAAAGCGCAGAAGCTGCGCAGGGAGGAAGCGAAAGTGCGCGCCCTGAACCGAAATTGCAGGGTTGATTACAGCATCCAGGAGTAAGTCCAAAATGCCTCTTTCCTACTCTTTTCGTCCCTATAGTAAAGGGGGAGCAGCCTCAAATTCGGAATTAGGAAGATAATCGGCAATTGCTAACAAGTTACTGAACTACCTAGGAGCGCGCTTGACTTCAACCCCATTAACACTATCGCCTCGCACATGAGCTACTGGCAGGACGAAGACGTCAGTCATTTCATCATCTCGCAGCTCTTATCCCGAAAGAAAGAAGACGAGAAGCAAAAAGGAGACCAAGCCCTTCTTCGCATTTAAATAAGACGGCCTGTTCTTCTGTTGTTACGGATTTGTTACGTTCGAATACACGTCCGGTCGACGTACGGCATTTCACATGCCGTGGCCTATTACGAATCCCAAGCGCCACTCAATTATATCACATGAAGAATGGATATATTTCGCTATTAGCTTAGCTCCTGTGGCAATGCCTAGGAAAATACTACTTGCCTTCGCGCCGCATCATAGTATATAGCACATGACAAACACATGCCCTCCCACAACGCGGACCGCAATCAAGGGACACGCAGGCACCTCGACGCCGCATATATTCATACCAAGCGCAGACCTAGGCATAGGATAAGATACTCTGAATCATAGTCTACATCGATGGAGAATGCTAGACTCAGCCCATACACCTTTCGAATTTCCCCTCTTTCCCTTTTCTAGAAGACGGAGTTGGCGCCGGATGGATTGATTGGATGGGCGTAGATATGTATGTCGATAGATACCTAGATACCATTTTAAATAGCATGATAAGAGTTAGGCTCGCGGCCTACAACTGTGACGATAACGACGTCTTCCGGGTACTTATATTGTAAGTGACTGTCTCGCGATTAGGCCTGCCTCTTATAATGCAGGAAAACGACTACGACAAATGAATCCAGGCTCTCAATACCGTTCTTGTCGAAAACTTATCACAATCAGAACGACCTACGACATTACAATTCCATTATAAGAAGGAAGTATCACTCTCAACGCCGTCTAAATAACGTGATTCCGACAACCTCATCTTACGATAACCTCAGGGGCAGGAGGCCACAACAGTGTGGCCTCGGTACCCTACAGGACACCAGCGTGCAATTAGCGAAGTAGTTTTAATGCTAACGAGTCAGAAACACAAATATTCAATCGGACGGACAAAGTCAGAGGCAATTAATGAAATTCATTCGCATTCAGTGTTCCTAGACTGGGAACAACCACTGCGCAGAAGTGTATTTGTATGGTGCTAACGCAACCAGAACGAGAAACCCTGCAATGTCCCTAGCAAAGCAAAACCATGACTCCGTGTTCCGCAACAGAACTTTTCCGGATCCAGGCCAGATTTTTCCCCTTTTTCCATTGTGCCATAATTCCGACCAATTGAGATTACTCGAGTTTACCAAATCACGACCTGCCATAGTAACCCACCCGCTTACGCGAAGGGTGCCCATAAGAGAATATACAAAGGGTGTTTGTCGAAGATTAATAGAGATTGACCCTCCCAATCATCCACTGCTCTGGCAACCTTTCCAAAGGCCACGGTCGCCATCCACCTTCATAACTTGCCGAGAAGAAATTGAATTTGTAATGAAGTCATCGCGTCGCAGAAAAAGCTCGAGGTATCTTTATGGTGAATCCGCTTAGTTAGGGCACTGAGACTGGACGTGTCCAGGCTGCTGGCACTTGTAGCAGATCTTCTCTCCGCCGGTCGAGGGTTTAGTGCAGTCACGGGAGAAGTGGCCATTCTCGCCGCAGTTGTAGCATTTGCTACCATTGACACATTCGCCTATAGCTAGATTAGAATGAAAGCATATGCCTTATAATTTCAACTTTACTCACGAGACATGTGGCCATAACCACCGCAAGAATAGCAGGTCTTACCACCTTGGCCACCGCCTCCGTTATAGCCGCTGCCAAAGCCACCACCACCACCTCCTCCGTAGCTGGCTGAGCCGTACGATTCAGTGCAGTTACGGGCAATGTGGCCAGGCTTACCACACTATAACCGGAAAAGTTAGTTTTACGATAATAGCCAAACAGGCAGTATTGTGAGAACTTGCCTTGTAGCACTCCTGGGAACCACCACCACCACCACCACCACCTTGGGGGCCGCCAGCCGGAGCGCCGCTCTGAGGGCAGTCACGGCTTATGTGACCCGTCAAACCGCAGCGGTAGCATGACTTGGTGTCCTTAGGACCATCAGGGCAATCGCGACCTAAAATCATCTTCTGTTAAACGCTGTTCAGTTGGAATTGGGAAGGCGCTAAGCTTACTAAAGTGGCCTTCGCCGCCACAGTTGTAACTGCGAAAATGTTATTATAAAACATCCATCAAACTAGAGGTGGGAATATTTCTTACCACTTGGGCGGACCACGGTTAGGGCATTCTCGGGTCTGAAAGTTTGTCAGTAAATAAATAATCGTACAGATAAACCGTCTCGCAGCTCAATAAGCTCCTTTTGTGAGACATACCTGATGTCCAGGCTGACCGCCTGCGTGAAGTGATGTTAGATGATGCCTCGCCCACGAAATTAAAACAAGATAGACGTGGATTAGAGAAAGGATGAAGTATTTTGACTAGTAACACACAACCAAAAGATTTTTTAATGTTGGTATACTCGAAATCAGGAAAATTAACGGGGGCACATTTAATACATTTTGACAATTGCTTGATAAATAAATATCATACAATAACATCAATACAGTAGTTATAAGTGAAGATATAGGGTTACCAGAATCACACGAGGAAGTAGACAATTGTTAAAAATAGGTAATGTAATGACTTACAAGTGTAGCAGGTACGAGTGGAACCTTGGAAATCCATCTTGACTTTGTGGATTCAAGATGATGCGAATGATCGAAGTCTGTCAAAACGTAGATAGTGTTAGCGAGTGAAACCCCATTAGAAAACGGAGTATTATGCCATGTAACCATTGACTGGCACAGACAAACGGTCTTCACTCCACATAGATTGAGTGCCAATACCACCAGTTCGAACACCACCCCCTCAAGCTGCCAAGTTACAGTTTCATTGGAAGCTTTGAAGCATTTGTAGGTGCCGCCAGAGACCCAAGAGATTGGTAGCAAGTAACAGATATAGAAAGACGACGTAGCGCAAAGTAGGATGGACGTATATAGGGCTGATAGGGACACCGATTCGTCATGAATGCAAGGTGATGAGTGTGGGGATTAGGCGATAATATCTGAGAGGCGCGTACTGATATGTACGCCCGTGCAGCGGGGTTATGTTCAGTGCACCAGAAGGGACCACGAAGGAGGGGTTCATAGTCGCCAACACCAACACCAACACCAACGAATGAACTTGACATTAATGTAGGTAAGTAGGAAGTTGAAGCTTACCGTAACTTTGATATGAAGCAACAGCGTTGAACTACCGTTGACTTGAATTCGAGTTCGTAATCTAGCAGCGACCACGAAATAGATGTTGGTGTCGTACTAGGTCCTCGACAAGATTGTTGTTAGTGGGAGGACCGATATGAAGACGGTGAACGATGTGTGTGTGTGTATGGGGAATAAATTTTTTTTATCGTGTGGTAGGAAGGACAACGAGAGAGGGAAAAAAAGTATGTTGACGGAAGGATGATCGGTTAGTTAGCCTGTGGAAGGAGTTGGATGGTGGGGTGATGAACGTCTAAGGTCGAAGCCAACGGCCTGAAAACAGAGATTTTCAAGGCAGCGGCAATACAGAAGGGGGCGAGATGCTAAGCGGCAGGTACACGAATAAGTACCCTAAGTACTTAAGATGCCACACATATTTGTACATGCAGAGAGGTATAGGTACTTACAAGGTAACTTCAATGATGGTATGTATACCAAAGGGAGGAGTGCGTTGAAATTTAGAGTTGAAGTTTGGACGAGGGAAAGAATCTTATTATCGATTTCGCAGAAGGAGAACGATACAACGTCCTAATCGCTGTTGAAATTCTTGTGGACGTAATAGCGCAATAGCGGTTGATTGCTAACCATAAAAATTTTTGTGGGCTTCGCCAAATTTCTATTTAGAAATTAGGACGTCGGCTGGCTATTCTGCCCATTTTAGCGCCTAAACGGCACGTGCGATGTTTTACCGCCATTTTTGTACAGTACAAGTACTATATCGCTAGTGTATCTAGACATTCATATATGATAAAGATAATGGCAAACAAGGTCATATATCTTGTCGATCTAGGTCCTTTCGACTGACCACATGTAGCCTAATCGCTAAACTGACCACCTACCTCTGAACTCCTAGACTCCTAGATATATGAAAAATAAGCAATATAACATGTTTAATAATAAGGCTTCTTTTTCTATTAATACGGTGTCTCATAGTCCTATTTAATCTAACTGGAGGCAGCCCTGCGGGCTGCACAATATGCCCGAGTTTACATAATTGCGCACCGGCCATATACTGCCCATTGAGTTACTTTCCTATTTAGGCCATGGAAAAAATTCGACACAATAACCCCTCGTAAACTCGGGCATATTACTTTTATCACAAACACTCGAGGTTCAAATTTCCCGGCTCATAGAATGCCCGTGTCTCGAATTTGATATTTGGTACCAATGAGCACAGCTGATAAGGTGCTGGGAAAACTATTCCAGGGGTAATTTGTATTTGATATATGCCAACGATCTTGTCGAAGTTGGGTCTGTAGTTTTTCACATGGCAAATTTATATGTTCCTACTTCTTACTCGCACTATGATATGAATATATAAATCTACTGGGCACCGTGTAGCAATGAATAAGTAAGCTTCGATTATTTCTCATACTGTAGTCATATTACGAATTCTCATTTAGACTCCTCTCGGATTAGCCCATCGCTCAAGATAAATATCCCTTCGTTGTAAACTTCTATTATTAAACCGAATATTATACTTGGGTAGCCTCTAAGTTAAATATTTGTTTCTCATCTGTATAAACGGCTGGAGATTTTGGCAAGACCTCTGAGCACCACCTTTAGAGAAGAGGCATACATTTTGACGAGGCTCACGGAATATGTGTAAATATGCCCACTTTTACCTTCGTACTTGAACAAACTCACGCTTATCTAGAGCTATCATCTCAGCCAACTATATACACTGTACTCGTAAATCGTGAATATTAAATTCTATTATTGTTTGACTGGTGCTTTTTTATTACCACAGCAATTACCTAGATATATTATATCAGAGTTGAAGATTCTGCCGTCCCGGAACACGACTCTCCGAGAACCAACATAGGAAATAATTGGTCTGAACTAACGGATATCAAATCAGGTAGTCAACGTAAGTGGCTCTAGTCTGGTGACGAGCTATTCATGTTATATGGGCTGCGTTTTAATACGGTGAATAGAATTCGTGCGCTATGCGGGATGGAGGATCATATGCAGCCCTACCTATTCCATCCACAGTCGGAAAACCACCCCCGTTTGCAAGTTGCATATAACATGGATTTTGCACATCTATTGGTTATTAGTAGATACTTCAATACCTGGGCCACCATCACAAGTAACCTCTTAGTACAGTACATATACATAGGCATGTAAACACGTGAAAGAAACTATGAAATCATTCCTTCGATACTCTGGTTCTGATGTCGCATCTAAGTACGTGATTGGAGACCTAATTGGGTTGCAGAAATCAATACATATTCCTAATGAAGAAATTCACATCAATCCCTTCGGGGTTAGGTTCCAATTGTTCTTTTGCAGAGGCAAGTAGGGCCTAGCAGGATTAGGCAGCTTAGTAACGCACAGACCACATTTTCCTAATGGGGCGGAAAGTGCCTCTGGGCGCGTATCACTGTTCCAACACGCGTCATTACCTTAAGTAGTACCTTCGTCCTTACCAAAACGTCCATTGCTTAAAACACCTAAACCCTAAAGTCAATTAATCAAACATCCACGACGAAGCATTGATGAGCTATGTTTACTTATAGCTAAAATAGACAGCGCGGGTCAATTTATTCCCAGATGGAGAACTGGTTCAAGGATGTGGGTAGACCTGCCCTGTTCGATGCTTTAACTGGAGTCTGTAATAGAATTGATAATGAGCTTGACGAAGGTGTGTATAAAAATGAATACACACCTCTATTTTTACGAAAAATACTAAGTTGGGAAATAGGGCTTAAATCGTATAGAGACGAAAACGCTCAGCTTTCTGCTGAGCTCGAAAACTTAAGGGCCAGGGTCTCTGATGCAGATCAATTTAAGGAAGAGAACCTCGCTCTAAAGAGAGAACTTCAAACCCTTAAAAACAGCAGTCATGCCAGCATCTTGTCTATAGACCAATCTAAAACCCGCGATGACGCTAGGAATGGCCGATCCCCTCTTACGCCTAAGTCTGTGAACCAAGTTTCGAATCTTAAGCCAGCTACTAAATTAGGCAATCTTAACATTGATGGACTGGGCGGCACTGCGCTCAAGGAGGAGTATCTTAAACTGAACGGGAACTACACGAAACTGCACGAGAAATATTTGGAGCTTGAGGATGCTCATGTGAAGTTGAATCAGCGACTTCGAGATAAGACGAAAGCCTACAATCAGTGGATGGATCATGCAAATCAGTTGGATGAACTGTGCAAGAAGCGTAGTCGGATAATAAAAAAGTTGGAAGCCAAGCTGGACGCGGCGGCAGCAGCAGCATCTGGTCCGCTGGATGGAAGCTTTTCGTCAGACACACCTGTTCCACCTACGAATAAAGATCAAGTGGCTGCTCGCGAATCTATTGATTCCGACGTTCCTGGCCAGCCTAGGTCTACGAGGCCCGATCCCTTGTTGAAGGAAACCCCGCTGATATGGCCGCCCACCAATGTTGACGAAAATGGAAGCGATTCTCCTAGGAGAGTATCCCCACTAGAACCGATGCGAATAAGGACGGCGTCACAGATTAGTCCGGAGAAAAATATCACAACTGGCTCGGAAAGTTGCGTCAGTACCGTGGATGGCGAATCATATACATTGCCACCTTTCCCGCAGCACCGAGATACTAATCCGAGGGAGGTGCTCATTAAGACCGAGCCCTCTTCTGACCCCCCAGTTATAATATCGGAGCGCTGTGTACGCAAGAGGAAACACGATGATGGTCAGACCGAAAATGTCTCCAAGGTCAAGACAGAAGATAGTTCCGATCCGCTGATTATGGATGAACGCCAGCACTTTATGCCACACGAGAGCATTGATTTTGATGCTGAGGGGGGTAGAGTGGTCACACCAAGGAAGCGTAATAGGACAAGTCTTGAACTCGAAGACGTGTCCGATTCGGGCTCTGTCGGAGTTCCTGGGTCGCACGCTAGCAATAACCGGCTAAGCAGGTTAGAAGACCCTCCGGTACGCAATACGACAAGCAAGAGGGCTCTTCAGTTTCTATCGAATGAGAACCTTGATTACGCACATGTTGGTAATGATGTATTGGCGTCACGATCCGGACTTTTTGGCCCTATTGCAGCGGGTCAACAGAAACTAGGAGGGAACTACTTGACAAAGCAAAAGGGTCCGTCTTCTATAAGAACCAGTCCAGCCAATCTCGTAGATGATGACGCCCAAAACAAAACCCCGGGGACTATTAAGAAGAGACCAAAAATGGGTCTTCAAGCTCTTCTCAATACTCCTTCGCCAGGCCATGAGGCTACTAACCCATCACCTATTGTGCAGTCAGACTGTGCGCGTATATCGAGGCAATTCGAGTTTCAAGCTCCGCAGATACGTGAGCTGCCTTTTAGCAAGAACGATCTGAGGAAGACATCTAAGCTGCCTCAATCTTACGATACTCCAGAAGCATCACGTGGCAAACGAACTCTCGAAAATACGAACGCGAAGCGACCATCTGACAACAGAGAAAAAGGCAGTACGACCGGCAGTACCCGGCCTTTGCGAGAGCGGCCCAAGTCTGAACTTAGTATCGCTGACTTCAAAATTAACCCGAATTCTAATGAAGGCTATGACTATGCCTTCACTGACGTTGTTCGAAATAAGAATGAACGAGCTAACCTAGAAGGATGTGTCCAGGAGGGATGCTGCGGCCAGACGTTTCGGCTACAAGCACGGGCCAAGCGTGATCAGACAGGGCCGGTAGACTTTCAGATTTTGTTAGAAAAACATATGGGTGATGAAGCTTGGAAATTGTCGACCATGACTAAAGCCGAGAAGGAAGACGTATGGCTTGAGGCTAAGACGCGAGAGCTTGCTAATGAGCATGGCAAACATCGCCATAGATTCCATCGTGCCGCATCCCCAGTAGGTTTCTGGCGGGCGGATTTCCCGAGCACCCAGGAGGAACAACGTGATAGAGAAGAAGCGGCGAAGGCGACACGTCGAATAATTGATGAAAGATATCGCGAGGCTATGCGACCTGGCGGAAAATGGGTTTTTAGAGACGAATAATATCTGATTTGCTGTTAGAGTTCAGAGATTATTTAGGGGCAACCCTATAGCGCATTTGATTTTGTTGCTGGCATGGAGCACACATTTACGAGCATAGAAATTAGCATAGCATAGCATAGCATAGCATAGCATTGTGGCTTTATCAAAAAAAGAGGTTTACGACAAGCAAGCATAGGAACCCATTTTAGCAGAATAAGTATTTCTGCTAACGCCGTCTGCGCTTTTTTTGTGTTAGCGCTCATACGTGGTGTGTTACAGCAAGCTTTAGACTGACTGAAGTTGAGAGGTATCATCACAGCGGGTGCGGCACAAAGGCCGGTACGTACCTTACCAACACACATCGAGCAGTTATAATATGGAAGTGTGGCTAGTGCCCGTGGCTGGGAAAGTTCGCTCCGTCAGCCGGGCTTGCGCAGGATTATTATTAGCTTGAGGTAATCTCAAAAGGGTCCGAAAACTTGAGAAAAAGTCAGAACACAAATTATTAGCTCGGTTGACCACAACAACCCCGGTCAACCTTGACAACTTCTTCAACGCGCGAAGGGCAATTCGGGCAGTACCATACGTAATTTATTTCCTGGGCTCTATACCTGCCTTTGAACGTCGTCTTTCCTCATCACGTAGTGTACCTTCTCATACCCATTATCCACTTTCTCGTTTAAGGCTCCTATGAGGCAGCGCCACTCGTTTCTATCGTCCTTCTCGGCTGCGGAAGTGGATCGGAGTTGATAACACAACTTGACGCAACTTGACGCTTAAACTATTCAGCTCGCAGCCTTCGAGCAAACAACAACCACAAGGTTGCCCGTTCGTCGTCTCCGCGCAAACAGAATCGCAATTCGAATATTGGCGACAGTCTACGTCGCAGAAGCAGTGAGAAGCAGTGGATAGCCACTGCTTCGTCACCCCCAAGCCGGCAAGATGAACGGTAGTCATCTGCCGGCTGGGCAGCCTATGCCAGGAGGTATCCCCGGAGGAGCAGTTGTGGCGCGAGGGCAAGTTGATATGGGACCTGGTCCAGGACCTGGTGGTCGACGGCGGCCGCCGCAACATCAGTATTCAGCTCATCATCAATATCACCACCAGCAACATGTCAATCCCATATACCACCACAACGGGTATATGGCTCCCTATCCTCAGACATACTATCCTCAGGTTTCGCATCACTATCAGAATGGCGCCATTGCCAACGCATCGTACATGCAATACAACCAGTTTCCTCAACGATCTCCTCCCATAATTCACCAGCAATATCCTCCTATCGTGTCCTCGAGCATGCAGCCTATTCCTCAGCCTCCTTACTCTCGACCACCTCCACCACAGCAACCCTCGCCGGCTCTTTCAACCCCTCCTCCTTATGCCGTAGCGGCGCCGCCTCCACCCGTCTCCGTACCCGAGACGCCCTCGTCAACACACTCGTCCCAAGTTCTTCCGGTCCCATTGACTCCCCCTACGCCGCAAAACCAGGAAGCTGCCCCGGCCACCCCGGATATCGAGTTGCGGTCGACCCAGTCACCGTTCAGAGCTCCAGTAAGTTATAGAACCCCTTACAGTAAACCGACCCACTCAAGCTAACCCTCTCTTGTAGCTGCCCTGGTTGTCGCGACCTGATATACCCTTTCCTACCAAGTCAGCTCGATCTAGGAGAAAAAGACGGATACAGAACCCTGATGCGGAGAATGTCGAATTACCTTCGATCCAAGCAAAGGGAGTTGAGTCAGGAGCTGTGTCACATGAGGAAGCTTTGGGAGGTGATGCCTCACTACTTTCAACCCCTACACTCAAATCTTCTACTGCTACTGTTCCGGCTAGCACGGACTCCGAGCTACCAGCACAGCCTGAAGCTGGGTCAACAAAAGATGAGCCCTTGGAAACTCCACAGTCTACCTCGTCTGCCACTCCTCAGCTAGTCCAAGTAGCTCAGCCTGCTGCTGCTACATCTGCCAAGCACGCCAAGACAGCCTCTCTCGCGGCTATACCAGCCGTTCCCATCGTCCCCGTAAAACCTAAAGCAGGTCCCAAAGAGACAAATTCATCTAGTGTTGAGACTAAACTAGTAGAGGAGAAACAGCCCACACAGCAAGTAGCAGCAGAGGGAAAGCCGGCTCAAGCTACAGAGACTTCTCCAGAAGCATCTCAAGCAGAAGCAAAAGTAGAGCCCGCCCCTGTTGCCGCAAAAGCTGGCCCGAAGCTCTGGACGGGATTATTTTCACGTGCAGCATCCGCCGCTTCTCCTTCAACTGGCGCTACTGGTGCTGCATCAGCTGGTACTGGCGTTACAATAAGTAGTATCCCTGACAATACTGCTTCAGGTAGTGGGGGTGTAGGTGTAGGTAGTTTTACAAAGTCAAACACTAGTTCTTTGGCTGAAGCTTTGCGATCATACCGCGTGGGTGGCAGTCAAAAGATTTCGTTTCTGGAGCCTAGGGGTTTAATCAATCCCGGGAACATGTGTTATATGAATTCAGTAAGTCATGGTAGCTTGGTTGGCAACGGAATTTAAACTAACAGCATCTAGGTTTTACAAGTTCTCATTTTCTGCATTCCATTTTATGACTTCTTGGACCAGATCAGCAAGAAAGCGGCATATAGTTTTAAAAGCGAGACTCCCCTAATTGATGCCATGTAAGTACCTAATCTACATTATTTAAATAATTTACCCTCGATCCGTCTAACAATTCTAGGATTATGTTCATGCGCGAATACAAAGTTATTGATTCTGCGGTGTCTGTCGAGCAGCTTCGGCGGAGGCTAAAGAACGAGGAACTCGAACAGTATGGCGAACCTTTTACCCCTGAATTTGTTTATGAGGCTATAAGGAAGCTTCCTAGATTTGCTAGCATGAGGGTAAGTTACTTTACCCATCTATTTTGAGGCGATCTAACAAGATTATGCAGCGTGGACATCAGGAAGATGCAGAAGAGTTCCTTGGTTTCCTTTTGGAAGCACTGCACGACGAGTGCACGCAAGTAATGCGCAACCAACCAGACTTATCTGCTACGACTACCGCTGCAAACTCATCAGCTGCCACTCCTTCGGCAACGTCTCCTACAAGTACACCAGATACTAGTGATTGGTTAGAGGTAGGGCCGCGTCAACGCTCTGCTGTTACACGTTCTTCCGGCCACCCAATTACCTCGTCTCCCATCACTAAGTTGTTTGGTGGACAGCTAAGATCAGAATTAAGGGTACAAGGCCTAAAGGACTCCGTAACTCTAGAGCCCTTCCAACCTCTCCAACTAGATATTGGTTCCCCTCAGGTCAATAACATTGTTGATGCATTGAAAGCACTCACCAGACCCGAAATTCTACATGGTGATTTTGGGTCACCAAGGGGAAAGGATGCGACGGCCACCAAACAGGTTCTCATCGAATCCCTACCGCCAGTCCTCATCCTTCACTTAAAGCGTTTCCAGTTCGATACCGAAGGGACTGGAACCGTCAAGATCTGGAAGAAGGTTGGATACCCACTGGAGCTCGAACTTCCCAAAGAACTCTTTCCACGACAGAAGAGAAATGCTCTTACCGTTGAAGGTACAGGCTTCCCTAAATATAAACTGATCGCTGCTGTTTACCACCATGGTAAGAATGCAAGCGGTGGGCACTACACTGTTGATCTCAGACGCCAAGATGGTGTAGAATGGATCCGTATGGATGACACGGTTATCCGACGAGTAAGAAGCGAAGATGTGGCTGAAGGAGGCTCTGAGGACGAAAGTTTTAAAACTACGGCGCGGGTTGACAAGAAGGACACCGTCGTGAGCGGTTCCGGTAACAGATTCGAAGGAATTGGTGACGATGAAGCTGGTGATGATGAAGGATGGAATAAAGTCAGCGCTCCAGTAAATGGAGCAAAGAAATGGAGCTCCGTTGTTAACGGGGCACCGAACACTGTACCGGCAAAAGGAAAGCAGACCAAGGACAACATCAAGGACAACAAGGTTGCCTACCTGTTGTTCTACCAGAAAGTCTAAGAAGCTGTGTAGCTTTGGTTCGACAGACAACATGAAGGCAGTCAGCCGCCGCTGCTACAAAGATTTTATATTCGGATGGGGGGTCGGTATGCCTACCGGTGGCAAATACCGTCTTATACCACGGTTGCTAAGGTGTATCACAATTGTCCGAGTATGGCAGGGGTATTCAGGGACTGGGGAAAAGGGGGGCGTAGTGGTTTTCGATTCGCAAGTCCTCGGTATCTTACCGTGGATACGACTGAATGGGCCGCCGATCCGGCAAAAGTATTTGCATATGGGGGGACAACATTTGGGGAGCTTAGGTATGGTATCTCTTGCGGTCATCATCATACCCCTGAATCTTCATCCCGTCTACCATTAGTTCCTTACCTTACCTAACGACCGATAATGGAGATTTGCCATACCCCTCTGTAGAATAAAGAAAAGTGATTCACGAACTTAATAGACACGATTTCATCAAAATACTTTATCATATATGATCATACCTCTTTAGTTCTTTTCTTAATGATAAGCTAATAATACTACATACAAATGGGTATCAATTTCGAAGCTTTGTTGAGAATAATTCATCAAATCCGATAGTGGTATAAGCTCATCAACGCCGCCTTACTCCCCTACGTTCGACCGGTGATGCCACCACCCGATTAAATCACGAATTAAAATTTCACCCCAGACTCAGGTTCTTGCTCCTTAGGTACTTAAGCGCGAGCCGTCATCAGAAAGCTCAAGTCGATATTCCGACGGCTAGCCCAACTCGTCAGATGCGTGATAGCCCGGGGGTTCCCCCCATACAGCCGCTCGTAAAACCAGGTGTTGCGATTGTCGACCCGCTTCACCTTCGCCGGGAGGTACACGTGCACGTGCGTCGGCATGAAATGGCACGCGTCGTCAGCCGAGCCCGAATTCTCTTGAAACTCGAAGCACGCGTGCGACAAGTCGCTGGCCGGGTCGAACGGGAGGCCCCGCAGATCAGTGCGCACGCCGTAGCGGTTTAGACCTTGGCCGTGGACGACGGCGTCCCAAACCCGCTTCGCGGCGTCGACGTAGGCGCGGTCGCTCGGGGTCGGGCCCGTGGCGATTCGGCGGCCGGTGGTGCGGCGTTCGGGGGCGCGGCGCTCCGGCATCCGGATTACGACTTTGGGCATGAAGACGGTGGCGCCGGCGCGCCAGAGCTCGCCTCGGCCGTGGTGCCATGTCCCGTCGGGGTTGAGGTCGACGGCGGAGAGGCGGATGGTGACGCGCGGGACGATGTCGCCGGGGAGGTGGAATTCTTGGCTGACGATGTCTTGGATGCTGCGCTTGACGCTGGCGAGTTGGTCTTGGAGGTCGTTGGTTAGGACTTCTTCTGTCCAGGTCGGGTTGGCGCGTCTGGGCTCGAGGCGCGTGTGGGCGCGCTCGACGAAGTTGTCTACGAGTGCGGGACCGACGTTTATGTTGGGGGGCGGTGGTGCTGGACGGTGCGGGCTGGGGGGTGGTGGGATGGGGGATGGGGTGGTGTATAAGGGGATGGACATTGGCATGGGGTAGGGAGATGTAGGGTATGGAACCGTGGGATAGGGTGCCGTTGGGTACGGAGGCATGGGGTATAGAGGTTGAGGCGGCGGTACTGGTAGCGGCGTCTGGGGGTAGTTGTTAGACCGACCCTGACGGCCGCTCTGGTAGTAGTTGTTAGACGCCATAGAGCTTTATTTATTGTATGCTCGTGCTTATTAGTCTACCTCCTTTGTTCTTTGTATGCCTCTATCGTACGCCCTAGTTAGGTTAGGTACTTCGATTAATTAGTCGGGGGGTTAGCTAGGTACCTTGGCTGCTCCGCGGTGCAGAACTCGGAATTGTTCAGGAGGACCGGAGAGGATTAAATAGTTTACGTTTCTTTTCCCGGAATAATAGACTTGTATGCTTCATGGTTGAATCATGGTGTTGTGGTGAATCAGGGCTCCAAGATTCAGAGCACAAGTTCATTGTTCGGTAGCCACTCGCCATTGTTGGTGTATTTCATTGTCACTAGTTGAGCTGTCTTTGTGTGATTCAAGACGATTAGTGTGGAAAGTTTGGACTAAGAACGTAGGAGGGAATGAATCACTTGTGTGAGATGGGTATTAAGTGTATGTACGATTCACGATTCCACGGAAGTCCCGAGCAAACCACCCACGCATGGACGTGAAATTTAGGACTGTGGCAGCCGAGCCGACGGCAGACCGAACTTAACCCATCAAAGTGCAGATTTCTACGTATTTTACTAGGCAGCAAGTGCATATTCCATAATTCTACTTTGTTCTCGATAAGGGATGCCGTAAATAAAATGACATTGTGACGAGAAGTCATCTGGATCCTTTTACTAAAATTATACCTAGTTCTAATAACTTGCTTATTTATCTAATACATTAGGTAGTCGTGTCCATAATCCCATAGCACATGGGATTTATTGTATGTATCTCGGGGGTGTTGGTACTGTCAACGACAATAGTCATTCATACCTAGCACCTGAAGGTCGCTTCGGGGCTATCCGGCGATACCATTTCCATAGCTTCTTCGCCACAACCTAAATACGGGGATATCTATAACTATTAACGACCTTCTACTTCCGAGGTTGCGCTGTACGAGCTGAACAGCCTTACATCTTAAAGAGTTTAGGTGGGTAGTTTCTCTCCAGGGTTCACTACATAAACTTTTGTTCTCGAACTGTGTAGAATTGTATACCGTTCCTGTGCTCTTACCCTAGCCTACATGATATTTATTTATGTGTACCTTGAGCCATGTGTTGTTGGTAAGGGTACCGGATCCTATTGTTCGGTGAGTGTCACTGGTTGCTTAGCTGGATTAAACAGAGAGGCTGATTCATTTGTATACCTCGGCATCACGAAGGATGGTGAAATGGAATAACAAAATCAGAATAAGGCAGAATTTGGAGGTTTCACTCAACCAACAGAGCAGTGTAACCACACCATCCAGGCAGCAGCACCAAGTGGCTGTGAGCTGTCAACTAAGGTATCTTAACTCACGTATCACATTATGCAGGCCCTGTAGTTATTTGTATTTAACTTGTAAGGCTGACTTTTGTTGGGCGTTTCATGTTTTACATGATGACGAATGGTAATGGCGTAAGTTTCTCAGCTGTTAAACTATATAAGTCACGACCCATGTTGAGGTCCCCGACGAGGTGACCAGGTCTGTAACTCAGGCCTCCGTTACTGAGGCCTCACCAGTAGCTGATGGTAGTACGATGACAAGCCACCAGCGTAAGCGCCGTGGTCAGAATATACCGAATTAAGTATAAAAAGTAGTAAGGGGTAGGTAATAGTTGTTGATTAAAGAGAGGTTATTGCTAGCGCCAGGAGAATGATAATTATACCTAGCTGTTGACCAAGTTATTAGTCTTGCAAGGCTAATTATTAACTCAAGTGACCATTTGATAACTAAAGTTGAATTTGCAAATATTACATTGTAACTAAACTAAAATAAATAAAGCTTTCCTGAATTAATAGTTTAAAGAATTTTTGATATATCTGGCTTAGGTAGTTAATCGACTTGAATAAATTAGTATTAAGTTCGTAGTGTATTATACGTTTAACCAAATCCGAAACTACTTGAAATTATGTTTCCCGTATTGAAGGAGATTCAATATACGCCCTAATTATCTATATACTTATCACCGAGGTAGGATATATTTATCTAACAAGTAGCGCGACCATAGGAAAGGGGGACTTCCGGGATTCGATAGGACAGTTAGGGGTTGAAATTACCCGCTCGAATATGTGTAAGGCACATTAGCAAAGCACTCATTAGCCGACCCAAAAAAGGCCTTCGGCCCGGTAATAGGAGGCCAGAAACCGGACAAGAGGAGCAAGTGAATCGTTGGGTCGGGCTTATGTTTCCGATATCTATAACACCATGTCTCACGGTAAAATTATTTTCGGCGCTTCTGGGTCCTAGTCTAGTTTCATGTGGTTTTTCTTCTTCTTCTGGCCTTTTCTCCTAGCTTCTATTATTATTATTTACCTATCTGTTAACATTGCTTCCTCCCCCTTTTATTAGGCCTCGGCGATTTACGCGATCACTCATCCCACAAGGATTTAACAAGTACTCACATCTTGACATTTCTTTCGGTATGATAACTTATTCGCCGCGATGAATGACGGGTTCATTAATACACTTATTAAAAATATGGGCCCTTTTTCCATTTCTCGCGAAAATTATCTACTTTATTTTTGATCCAAAGACTGTAATGTTAGTTGAATTGAAGGGAAATGGGTAATTGCTACACTCCGAAGCGACTTCTATCGTATCATACTTGAAGTGAAAAATATCTTTTTTCTGAACTTTTAGTGACTAGTACAGTTGATGAGGTTTTGTAAAAAGATAGGGGAGTGTAAAACAATAAATACCTTTAACACCATCTTAAAAAATCTTAAGCTATGATATTTCTTCGATATAACAACAATAGTCTACCAATCTGTTACGTTCTGGATAGAGAAAAATTCAAACTAACCATAAACATGTAACTAAGCCAAGTTTACATCTAACTACATTAACTATATACTAGATAATCTACTCTTTTTATGCAAGTGAATTCCAATATCCCTTAACCTTCAACAACATCTCAACCTAAACATAAATATTCAAATCTCCAGCTCCAAGAACACGACTCGGCAACGAAAATCACTATTGTAGAAGTATAAAAACCCAAAGATAGATGACCTTGATAATTTTTGTATTAACATATTTTTTTCATTTAATGATAGCTTCGAGTCTTCAGTCTGTATCAAGCTACCACCCAAGACTAATTTACAAGTAGCCGTTTTATTCACAGCGCAACCAACCACCACGTTGCGACGCGCCCCAGCGGTGGGAAAAACAACAACAGCGATGTCGTTGCGCATCAACCCCACTCTAGCCCGGGATATATACACGAACCCATCCCCCCCCCTTCTTTGTCTAACTCTAATGGTTGATAGGGCGCCTCTAACATCTAGGATACTGTATAGGTAGATATAGTTCATTTCTTGACCCTGACCCGAACACCCTTGGTCCCCTTCCACGGCAGCGACAAGATCATCTCGCACGCAATATCGACATCCTTCCGCGTCGTCTCGTACAGCTCCAGCTCGTGCCGGCGGAAGATGGTCGCCAAGCCGATGTAGATCTCCGCGTAGGCGAGGTACATGCCGACGCACATGCGGGTGCCCTTGCCGAAGCCGACCATGTAGTGGGTGAGCGGCTTGGTCTTGCCGTCGAGGGGGGGCAGGTAGCCGGCTTTTTCGAGCAGCTCGGGGTCGACTTTCGGGTCGCCGAGCCAGCGCTCGGGCTTGAAGGTGTAGGGGTCGGGGAATAGGACCGTGTTGTGGTGCATCGTCCAGATGTCCATGCCGACTGGGACGCCGGGGGGGATCACGTAGTCGCGGTAGGTCCAGGCGGCGGTCTTGTTGATGCGTGGCATGCGCTCGCTGACGGCACAGGCTAGACGGAGACCTTAAGGGGAAGAATATGTTAGTAATTTGATTTGACTTGATGGTTGTGGTCGTTAATGAGTGGAACTTACTTTCGTTGACGATGGCGTTTAGGAATGTGAATGTTTCGAGCTCGAACCAATCGGGAATTTGGTTGGGGTCGGGAATCCTCTCTTTGAGCTCAGCTCGGAGGCGTCGCTCAACCTCAGGGTTAGCTAGGATGTGGTAGCAGGCAACACTCAAGCTCCATTTAGTCGTATCAATTCCGGCGGCAATGGTAGACACGGCCTCATCACGTAGTCTTTGGTAGGTCAACTCCTCAGGAGGTAATCGAGATGTGAGAATGTCGCGGTAAAGGGTAGGGAGAGGAGATTCCTTCGCTTCGGTGTTTCGGCCTCCAACCATATCGGCTACTTGGCTTCCAATTTCCTATTGTGGGAGTTAGTTGAGTTCTCTTGGTCTGGATCTTGTAATTGCGCTGGCCCCGTAATGTGGTGCATATGTCTTACCTCCTGAGCTTCGACGACCGACTTGATTGGCGGCACAACCGTCTTAACAAGCCATCCCGGCAATGCGGATACCAAGTATTGTATAGTGCTGAAATGCATGAAAGTGTGACTGGTGTATAGCAGATCCGACAGCCCTATCGCCAAGGAGCTCTTGAAGTCTGGGGCATCAGTAAACAGCTTGGGTCGAGCAAAAGCCACTTCCATGATGACGTCGCTTGATAGCGATCCCCATACGTAGGAGAGGTTAACGGCCTTTCCAGTGCCAGCATATTCAGTAGAGAAACGACGAGAGATACGGTCAACAACCATCTGGACTCGGTGGCCGTGGTCCCGTGATCTAGCACGGCTATAGAAGGCGGCCATGGCACCTCGGCGCTGACGATGCTTGGCGGCGTCGATGGTTCCGAAAGCAGCGAGCGGCGCGCCGATGCTACGGGCATACATCTCGACCTTGTCGAACTGCTTGTTTGTCGCGTAGACGACATCGAAGTATGCTGGGTCGTCTATATGGAGCTCGAACGGGTTTATCCGTACGATAGGACCTTGATTCCATAATGATTAGTATCATAATACCCTTGTGCGTGTAGGTTGACCCACCATATTGCTCGTGCATCTGCTTGATCTTGAAGATATACTGCCCGCCACCCTTCTTGAAGATGTTATAGTAGATTTCATACCACGACGTAAGTGCGGCAAGCTTCGGACCGGGGAATTTAGCCAAGGGACTTAGATATAATCGGTAGACGACGAGGGATAACATATAGCAAAGCCAAGCGCTGAAGGTTGCGGCTAGTAAGGAGGCGCCATATTGCTGGAACAGCGAGATGACATCTCGAGTATTCCAGATGGCGATAGCCATTTTCTCTTCTCTAGTAAGTGAGCAAAATGAATATAATATTATAATATTATATAGTATTGCTATAACACAATGCTATGGCTTGGAGTTTCATCTATACTATATGGGCGTTCTCGAACATATTTATATCTCAGTTCTGATTACATGACGACTCGAAACGGCGTTTATGAAACCGCCACATCTAAATTCCGAGATGTCGATACCACGAGTTCTCAAAGTGCTTACATCTCGCCAAAGTAAACTCGCGGTGAAGGCTTACCTCACCCATCGCGATGCAGTCAGCGTCGACATGGTTTATTCTGCCAAATCCTCCGAATCCTAAGCTGCGGGAGATCGCGCTGACGAGCCAATGATCGGCATGGCAAGACGTCCAAATGCAAGCCACCGAAGTTAAAATGTCTGATAAGTCATAATATCCATTGTTGGTCTTCTTTACCTTGTTCCTTAGAAGAGTAATCCCGGTTCCGAAAGACTATCCGAAGCTGACGCGCATGGGGTAACCCGTATGTACTTGGTCTCAAAAATTGCCGTTTTCTCCCACTCGTCCCACCTGCGCCGTCCCCCGGCATCTTTCCGAAAAACGCTTAGACGATACAGCTATTAATCTTCATCGCCCAATGTGAGCGAGGTGGGGCGGTGGTACTTGAAACCTCCTTGATCGTTAGGGATCTTTGTATGTTGTATGACGCTCTTGAAGGCCGAGAGCATCTCCGGGATTTGTGCCGGCAATAGGCACTCCGGAGCTGCTATTGGAAGCGCTAGTCTCTCTTGTGTGCATATACATGTGCTACGAAGAAGCACCTAGTCAGTTTAAGGGTGTCATATATTAGAGGTGCATTATACCTACATCTCTCCATTTGGGCCAGTTATGTTTCGTTACAGTATTCCAGGACGAATCGAGGCTGTAGATATCATCATCTACCGGGATCCATGTTATTTATCTCCCTTCAGTAATACGTCAGCCCGACCGGCCCCTTACACCGCCGGGGGCGAAGCTCTAACCCCACATCCCCGGGACTCAAGCATGCGATCGATCAACAGGGCCGTGTCGGGGTACGAGGTATTTGATTTCCATATGCGGGAGTCTCACAGAAGTAGACAAATCCCTTCTCTGAAATTTAATGTAGTGTGTCTTGGCTCAGAAGGTCTGAGCGGCTCGTGCGAAATTCGGTTAACCAGTCATATATGTCATCTTTTTGATCGTAAAAATCGATCGTAAGCACCTTTCCTATTAAGTTGATGAACGACAGTGAGGGCGGCGAAATGTCCTAGATAACAGGGAGCTTGCTTACTGCCAGTCAAGTGACACATTACTTTTGCAACAAGTTACAAAAATTAAGTAACTTAGATAGGTACTGAGATGTGCTTCATTGTATAAGTCACTATGTATAGGTATGAGACTCGAGCCCTTTCGAACATTAATCTCTCCGGAACTTGTTAGCACCCTTTGACATCTTAGACGAAAAAGAGCTAGCGTAAAGAGCGAGTCAAGAAAGAGCCTAAATTCAGTTATCTGAGTATATACACTATCGGAACTGACTCATGCTTTAGCAGTTGTCTAACAGAAAAGTACCGTGTTAAGTGATGGTTTGGGTTCTTACTATCTATGCTGACTTGACATACCCGGTGGCACAGTAGTAAGGATCTGAAAACTGATCAATAACTTGGGCTAACATGTCCAGGGATAAAACAGTATGCTGAAAGCTGGTTATTTTAAAGAGCTATCCTTAGGGAATGTTGAAGTCTGAAAGGAGTGTTTCCAAAAGGAGCAATAAACTCTACAAGGAGTATCGAACTCTGAAAGGAGTATAGTATCTGACAAGAGCATTAAAGTCTGACAAGACTGTCTTAACCGTCGATAGGATTATTAAAGTTTCGAAGGATTATTAAAGTTCGGAAGGATGAAGACGTTATGGAAGTTTTACTAGAATGCCCCTTTTGAAATCGGAGGGTTTCCTATTGGCTCGAAAAGTGATCTCTTTCCTTGAAGATCGAGCGCCCACACCGGGTTGCCTTTTAATTGGTTCAAGGTAATTACCGCATCTTACATAATACTAACTTGATGGAGTTTACGGAGCTTCGTAGGATGACTATCCCAGTTGCTATTTTAGTAACCTAGCTGAGGCTGAAGATACTACATACTATGTACGATTCACACATGCTTATCACATTCTATATGCAACGCAACCCAAGTATGACATAATTCGGTAACCGGAAATATTATCATGACGCAAACCAGCTTTGAATTCGAGTAGTTCAAGTGAATAATACAAATGTTCTCGATTTCTACTTGGTCACCAGGACATGGGCGTTGGTAATGGAAATATTTTTATTTGACTTCTCACATCAATTAAGAGGTATGAAGCTGCTTTACCCAACCACGAGATACGAAAGTCGCGGGGTGCTCACAGTATAAATACTCCGACTCCATCAGCCTATCCGGAGTTCTATGCGGCTGCCATCATCCTCGTCAGTAAAACGTAGCTAATCTGCCAAACCAACGCCCTAGTGATACATGTAGATGAATAGTAAAGTACCTATTGGCAGCTCCTTCATCTTCTCATCTGCTGCAGTCTGCTGATCTCGCTATTGAATCTAAGCTTGAAGCCGTTGCAGAGAGCGAGCATGTGCGGATATTGGGACCCCATCATCTCAAACGCATGGGGTACTACTTTCACATCCCACATGTTGATTCGCGAAGTCTTGCTTGCCTTGAAGCATAAATAGAAATATCCGGCACGTTTGGGATTGATGCAGAATAAATAGATCGAGCGGTTCGGATTAGCATCCGAGTACGATGTTAACCATTTTTCTATGTTGGAATTAGCATGATTCAATTCTAGGGACGTGTCGAGGAAACTCACCGGCATCTGCGACGCTGCCCTTCTTGAACTTCTCGTGGCCCATCATTTCATCGACTTTCTTTGCCATTGCCTTGACATGGTCCACGATCAGTTCGTCAAGATCCGTATACGTATATTTACCACCGATACGAAGCGTCTTCCCAACTGAGAACTCGGTCTCTTTCTGTAGTTCAAGAACATCAATGTGCTGATAGACTCCATCTGCGACCTTCCAGGTGACCGTGAGATGATCGTTACCCTTTGAAGATGGTCGGATAACTACATCGCCCGACGACTGAGAACCCAGAAACTCTTCTGCCTGTGTAGAGTTGAACGGCTTGAACAACGGATGCTTGATCACTCGCTGCGTGCGACCCGTTGTCTTATCCTTCTCTCGTAACGCATCCTTATCGTCATCTTCCTGTCTAAAATCCCAAGTACCACGATCGTGGTCGTTATGTTTCTTGTAGGGTCGCCGAAGTGCGTCTTCGCGCAAGGTGAGCTTCGCAAGGAATTCTTTACGGTTGAGATCCACAATCTTGGCTTGAACAGTCTGGTTGACGTGGATAACATCTCTAATCGATACGTTACTTCTGTGACTGACCTCGTGGGATTCGATTCGGCCTTCAATACCGCAATCGAGCTTGGCAATAGCGAAATCATCCTTGACCACCCGTAAATTAACCGGGATGATCATGCCTTCTGCCAGTGACTCCTTGGTTTCGCCCGTGAACATGACGAATACCTGGTCGGGAGTCAGCGGGCTAAAATTTCGGCGGAGTTCCTCGTATGGTGCCTGTAGTTCTGCTCTGATGGTTTCTAGAGTGGCCCGTTTCCGTTGGTTATAGTTCTTCTCTAGCTGTTCGGCATATTCTTCTAGGATGAGCTCGTTAACCTTCTCCTGCTCATCCTCTCGGAACAGCTTGCGGACTATCGCGCCGGCGCCGTTTTCATCAGTCTCAGCTTTCACATCCTCTTCATCCAACTCGAGGGCGTCTGCTGCCATTTTGCGACCGAGTTCGTAATCTTCAGGATGGACACGCGTGTTATCCAGCGGCTCTGATGAGGGATTTGTAGCATCATATTCGATATAAAGGAAGCTAGCGCAGTTATTCCAGACTCGAGGGCCAACCACTGGGAGCTTGTTGTTATCCGGGTCGCCAACAAGTTCATCCCTCGAGTTCACGACGCCACCGTTGGTGTTGATAGCTTTGATAACACTTGTGGCCTTGCGGGGACCTAGACCTGCGATGTACGGTAGTAGATTGGCTGTGTATGCATCACCAACGGCCTCGTTAATATCAACACCACAAAGATTTACCATGTCCACCATCGACGTCTCAAGATGTTTCAGTAGCTTCTCTGGAGGAAGCAGGTGTTGGCAAGGATTGAATAACAGAGAGGTAATATCCTTCCCGAGGGCTGCATACTCCTTCATAGGATTTTGAAGATATCTGGCTAGAGCGACACAGTACCGCGTATTAGATGTCAAAGTCGGGTGATCAGCCTGCGCCCGAGGGCTATCTTTGTAGAGCCTTGCGACTTCATCGTTAACAACTACGACCTCTAGTAGCTCGCTGCGGTAGTCGTCGGAATCCGGATCTGGAAATTCGGGACCCGTGAGATTTTTCTCGTTCACTATACTTTCCACATCGCGAACTAAACGATGGGTATCGGTCGAGAAACCACTAACGCCAATTACGTCTGGTTTTCTGCGTTCGACTAGTTCGACGAAGGCCTCACGCTGTGATTCATCGCGAGCAAGGTTTCCAAATTTGCCATGCTCAATGACCCGCCCATCTTCTTCAACCCAGACCCAGAAGACAGGATCTCGAGCTGGATCGCCCATGCCGTTTGACAAGGTGAGGACACGCGGAGTGGTACCCAATACCATGCCCTTTGGCTTGTAGGGAGCTTGGTCAAGTCGCTTAGAGTATTCCTCACGGCACAGCTTAAGGAGCTCTTCCTGGCATGCTGTTCGCAACGAGTCCTTGACCCCCTTGGCTATTACCCTCTCGAGCTTAGCGAATGCAATATCGAGGACCTTCTTACGTTCCTCATTCCAAGCATCTGCAAGTTCGCTGTAGTTATCCGAAACGAATTCCGCCTGCAGCTGGCGCCGGAACTCTTTCTCGTTCTGGAGTCGGAGTCTGACCTCAATCAGCCCTTCCTCTTCTGCTTTCATCATCTTCAAAAAGAGTTCTGGCCGACGCGCGAGGTCACTGATTGTCTGGTTGATGAGGTATTTTATCTCGTAATAAGGATGAGACTCATCAATCCTTCGAAGCCCCTTTTCCGTTCGAAAGCAGCTGATCTCGCCCATCATGTAGAAATTCTGTCTGAAATGTTTTCGCATCCTCGGGCTCATGAATAGCTCCTCGGCATACATGTGCCTTGCCTGATAGAGAACCTGGTCGCCGGTAGGGAAATCGCTATCAGTGAGGCGATCTGCGAGGTCGATTGGCAAGCTTTGCTCGTCGTCTACGATCATCTTCTTACCTTCACGGAGAGCGTTCTGTGCCAACCTGTCAGGAGAGATGCCGTAAGCCTTAACAAACTTGTAGGCATTACTTTTGCGGACGCGTTCGAAAACGGATGATTTTGCGCCAGGACGTTTGGTCCCCTTAACCACACCGTTCATGGCAGCAATGTCCTTTAATTGCGAGGCATATTGGAAATTAATATAATCCTGTAGGTCTTGAAGTTCCTCCATCGTGACAGCCTGACTTAGCATTTCCGGGATCATATCGTCGTTCACCTGCGTGACTTCTCGTAGATTATCACATGTCTTTTCAAGGACACCACGCTTCTCGTAGAGGGATCGGTACTTGATATCCAATTCAAGTATACGCCAGAGGTCGTCTTGCGTAAGAAGCTTCTCAGCGTTAACAATATACTCTGGTGCTTCGGGGTCATCACGATGGTCGGGATTTCGAGTTTTCCGAGCATGGATGAGGTAGTCTTTGCGATGTTGAAAGACGTAGGGCACCTCGAGATCCTCAAGAACGAAATATTCAAGCACTTTACCGACAGCCTTCTGAAAAGGACTATGCAAGTCACTAGACAGTTGCTTTTTCGGCCACATCAGATCAGCTATCCACTGAATTTCATCCTTGAACTGTTCACCCTGGATGTTGAGATGTTTGAAGGGTTTACGGTCGAGCTGAAATCGTTCGGGTTCGTCTGTAAAACGAATGGCGTTATCTTCATCAGTCAGAAGCTTCTCCGCCAATTGCGAGGGCTCAAACACATCCTTCAGTTCGAGAGTCTGCTCTTCTCTCTGACGCTCCTCTTCTTCCTCTTCCTCGTCCAAGGCCCATTGGTAGTCCTCTCCGTTTCCGAAGATAGCTTCCATGTCCTCGAGAGCGTCTTTATCCAGTCCAGCCCGGTCGACGATTCGTCCCGCTATGCCTTTGTCTCGCGGGCGAGCAACTTCCATATCCTCCATCTGGCGCATGCGTTCGTCCTCGTCTTCAGGGAAGTCTTCCTCAATGAAATCATCGAACTCGCCCGCGGTGGCGCGATGACTTGGTCGTGCGTACGGATGCTCATCGGCAACCTCATCGTCTTCATCGGAGAACATATCGTCGAGGCCGCGTCGCTCATTTCCACGGGTATCATCATCACGGTGGCCACGCTTGAGTCTCTTAAATTTACCCTGTTTATACATGTTAGAATAAGATAGCTGCACCTTTATGCTACTAGTTTGTCGTACCTGTGAAGGCTGCTTGCGTTCCCATTCGGGAATGTTCTCGCCGATTAGATCAAGATCCTCTTCGTCTAATTGAGCTTCCTCTTCACGCTCCTGTCGGCGCTTGCGCTTTCTTCGCTTGCGCCGCTCGTCCTCATCTTCGACCATGTCTTCGTCTTCGTCTTCATCCTCGTCGACAATGAAGCCCTCACGGATCTGTTAAAATGCAGTTAGCTATCTGCAACCCACAGCTACAGTTCTAATAGTAGACAGGATAAATATTGTAGATTACCTTTCGTGCTTCCTCTTCGTCATCATCATCTTCATCCTCTTCACTTGAATCATCCATTTCCTGGCCTCGATTCCGTGATCTTTCTCGAGTCTCGCCGGTTTCTTCGTCAAAGGATTCATCATCCTCTTCGTCATCGAGTTCGGCCTCGCCCGAAATCAAGTCTCTCATTGAATTACTCATATTGACGGGTCGGCGGCAGACGGTGGAAAGGAGGTAAGCGCGGTTCTATGTTTTGAAAGGGTAAGAAATAGTCTGTACTAGATGGAGTTGATGGATTGGAATTTGTAGGCAACTAAGGACCAAAAAGAATCGCGCTACTAACTCCAACCCGAAGTGTACAGATCTATGAGAAGGTAAGGAGGACGTAATTGTTAGGGCGACTAAGTTCAAGTTGAACTCTCCTAAGCCTTGGGAAGCTAGAAATTTAGATCGCGTCGACCGCCAGCCTCGCGATTGGACAAAGTGCCTGAGCATCGGATTGGTCAGAATTTCAGGTGGAGATGTAGCAAGCCACACGCATCACGTGAGTAAATGATGATGAGGCTCGTGCTTTTTATCGATAAGATCTAACATTTATAGACATAAATAAGTACCTAAGTACCCTACATAGTGATAGGTATGGATGTAGGTAGCTGAGATTTACCCTCGATGAGAGATGCTCTTCTAGATGAGGCATCTATAATAGGCCGCCCTTGAGGCTTATGACATTGAGATGCCTTATTTAAAGCATGCATCATAGCAAAAAGTATTTAACTATAAACCTATGCTACCCAGGTACCTATATAGCGCACGAGTGTGTAAAAGAGCGCTGCCTAAAACTACCAAGCCGACATCTTCACTTATTAAAATCTAAGCTCACGTCACTTACTTTCTATACGATGTCTCGGAGACACAAGAAAGCTGTGTATATAAAACATAAGTGCCGCAAAAATAAATAACTAGGCGCTTTTAGATCGAGATATTCTGCAGAGATGTGTTTTATGGCTCTGGCTGATAAAGCCAAGAGACTATGGTGTCGATTGAGGGCCGGCTGTCCAATCACGACCGCTGTTCGATATGATGCACCAAAATGGTCGAGACCGTGACACCTAACATGTAGGGGCCATAGCCGAATCTGGAGCTGTCAGGGGTAGAAGGACATGTGCCAGGCTACATAGGAGGATGCATCTGCCCCCAAAATCGTGTGTATGGAGTAGATGAGAAGGAGGGGGACTTTTTTAGGTGAATATATTTTGATCGTAGCATGATAGGTAGTGTAGTGGAGGTACGTAAAGATATACTCAAAGAAAAAGGGGGTGGCAAGAGTCTTTTGGGTATAAGGCTTAGGCTACATTAGGCAGTAGGTCAGGCTTTACGGCTGACTAGAGCTGTTCTAAACCACATATCATACTGCCTAGGTAGGTATTATATTACATCCGCAACTTGAGCTATCGATTTTAGGAACGCACTTCATAAGATGATTCCTATTTTGTTAAATAAATCCATCATCAATGTTACTTATGGCTACTTATAGCATTTCATGTATGTAGATTAGGCACCTTTATATATAATGTGGGTAGAATAGGATGCATGTGGTGGCTTGCTGCAGGTGGTCTGGTCGTACATGATGCCATCAGGTATTGTTGGGTACATACATCCTTTAGGTACTTGAGCGAGGTCGAGCCCCGCGGTCCCCGCTAACCCCTTATCCCAGGTACTTAATACTTAGTGCTTGTACTGTTCGCAGCCAAACGCGTAGGTAATATCTACCTAACATAAGGCTCTTTATTAGTGGAAATACACTAAACGCCTCTAACCATAATCAACTTCAATAAGAACCACTCTCCCTCTCTCAGTCTTCCACTTATATTACATCTGTAGACGCTTTGAACCAAGCATGACGATGTGGTTTCAAATATCAAAATCCCCTACATAGCATGATTGATCCGTTGTGGTGTTCTTACCCCTTTGTGCTAAACACAAACACGTAACGCTTCTAAAGTCCACCCACTCAAGACACTTAGACTACCTACATAGGTAGCTCGATTCCTACTTTCGTCTTCTCTGGTGATCGCCCAAGACGGTTTTCAATATTACCTGCAGCTTTTCTCCTATATATGCGGTTATAGCTAAAGACCAATCAGCCCCGTTTTTTGGTAAGTCTCAACTGCATACGGAATTTTATTGATTTTTCTGCATACACTGAAAGTGTGTAGAGAGCAGACTTGACTAGTTCAACTGACAACTAGACTTGTGTTAGACATAGTTTATCTCATCTCGTCGTTGTCTATTAAGACCATAGCGCACAAGACTGGAAGTTTATACAGCTTACAATTTTCGAATCATTTAAACGAAGTAAGTATCATTTCTTTGTCCTTCTGTATGATATCAAGAAACATCCATCATATTGGGCTTCTTCCTACCCATATACACCGACATATCAATTCCACTCATCATGATTCCACTTTGACGCACACCTACATGCATGTACCGAAAACTCAAGAATTATATACAACTTGAGTTGATAGGTTTATTCCTAGCAATTACTTTATCATGGCCTGTGGAAATTGTCACCAGCTGTACTTTATCTAAGTGGATTTCTCTCTTCACAATTTCTACCACCCAATTTTTGGATATCCCCCTTCTCGATGCCCAACAAAAGACTAAACAAGGTCTACCATACGCCGACATCACCTTACCTTAGTACCTAAGGTACATGTATTATTAGATATACCTTAGGTACATACTACCTGTTATGTACTTCGGATAGCACTTAATTCTCTTCGGTAGGGTCGGTAAAATCGGCCAGGTCCCACTAGAACTTGCCTAGGTACATGTATCCTGTTACCTGTTATCCTAGTAGCACCACTACTTGATAACATAACACTACAATACCGCTATTATCTCTTACATACATGCGTCTTCGTACTTCCCCCTACGCAGCTGCATCTTCCTGCACACTTCCCCTTCCACAACGCCTAACCATTTAATTTGCTGACTCGAAATACTAAGGTTGTTGGCAGTCTTCGAACCACTACGTACCCTAAGGACCCTTTCTCGGTGCATTGCACAACAGTGCAGACAGGGTTGTACAACTGACACCGTCGCTACCTCTCCTGAAAAATACGAGAGTTTCTCCGTTCGACCTTAATTCAATTCCCAACTTCGATCTTTTCGGGGTCCGTGTGAGGGGCAGAAACATACGCGCAATACATAGACACCGCGGATTAGTTCGAAATAAAACCAATAACCGGGCGTTTGCCGGTGGACATGCAAATTGCTTGCCCATTTGCGATCCGCGCCGGCTCGAAATAGTCTTCTTAACCGGTTTTGCATAACGTGCAAGTTCCCGCTTCTCGAATCTTAAACATCACCGAGTACCCGCGGGTTTATACATCATGACCGACGCATTTGCCCCGCGCTCTATGAAGCGCAAGAATGTCAAAGGCTTAGCATTAACCCCCGCCGCCCCGAAGCAACCTGCGGCCTCGGACAATGACAATCAGGCCGGCTGGGGCTTTGGCGGATCGAGGGCCGAGGAGGTAGGCCAAGAAGCACAGCTCGAGATTGGAATTGAGTTTAACCTAGACCTTCGGCAAGAGGATATCGAAATCGTGAAAGAGCTTGGTTCGGGAAATGGAGGTACCGTCAGTAAAGTAAAGCATTTACCTACCGGAACTACCATGGCTCGAAAGGTAAACATCTTCATTATTACGTTTCGGAATGCGGATACTAATCATGGCCGGCGTTAGGTAATACATGTCGAAGCCAAAAAAGAGCTCAGGAAGCGAATCGTCCGCGAGCTACAGATCATGCACGGTTGCCACTCCGATTATATCGTGACTTTCTACGGCGCTTTCCTAAACGAACATAACGATGTCATTATGTGTATGGAATACATGGACGTTGGGTAAGTGGGATTAAGAAAAAAGGAGTTTGAAAGTGTTGCGTGGACCTAACTAGGCGACTACAGATCTCTCGACAGAGTCTCGCGCCATTTTGGGCCGATTCGTGTAGACGTGCTTGGTAAAATCGCAGAGGCGACTCTGGGTGGCTTAACCTATCTATACTCGAAACTACACATCATGCACCGAGACATTAAGCCCTCTAACATCCTCGTGAATTCTCGGGGTCACATCAAGCTCTGCGATTTTGGAGTATCAGGAGAACTAGTCAACTCTATCGCCGATACATTCGTGGGCACTTCGACTTACATGGCTCCAGAGCGGATCCAGGGCGAGAAGTACACAGTCAAGTCGGACGTATGGAGTTTTGGTCTCAGTATAATGGAGCTGGCTATTGGCAAATTCCCATTTGCGAGCGAACAACTGTCGGATGACGACGGGGCGCCGGCCGGTATCTTGGATCTCCTCCAACAAATTGTTCACGAGCCCGCTCCGAAACTTCCTAAAAGCGACGCGTTCCCGTCAATATTAGAAGATATGGTTCAAAAATGCTTGTCGAAAATACCAGATGAGCGGCCGACACCTCAGGAGTTATGGGTGAGCAATACTCCAAACAACGCATATCGAATGCCTATACTAATCTTATACAGGACCGAGATCCATTTGTCCAAGCAGCTAAACGAACACCTGTGGATTTGAGAGCATGGGCTGTCGGACTTATGGAGAAAGACAACCGTAAATCGCATTTGGTGCCTCAACTTTCGCCAGCTACTCGGGATCTCTTACGATCAAGCGAGTCCCCTACCTTCCAAAATGACGGCAATGCCGCTTATACCCCAACTTCCGGCGAGATCCCCATCGTGGGCGCCATTGCTTCGCCGAGAGATCACAGCCACTCGCAGAACCGATCCCCTACAAGAAACGGGGTGGGAAGCCTTGGGCGCTCTTCCGGTTCCGCTGTGCATCCGGGATTGGGACAACGAGCTGCAACGTCTGGATCAATACCCAAGATTACAACTGCAGACCTCTCGCAGCCGGCCAGTGCCAGTATGGGAACATCATTCACACTACCAGTTAGACCTGCACCGCCCGGTGGACCGTTGCCACCCCCTCCCCCAAGGAAAGAGACTCCAGATGAACTGCGGAAAGATAATAGACGACAAGCAACATTCATCCCTCCGTCGAACGGCAGCTATGGAAGCGCGGGGTATTCATCGCGATAAAGCCAGTGGTATCACATCTACCATCATAACCGTTTTGTCACACTATATAGGCCATCCATGGTTCGGCTTCAGAGCGCGGAGGAACATGACCGCCAAGCGTCTGTATTTGCCCAGCGTAACAGTGTGTTGACATCGATCATCCCTCACACATATCAAACATTATATTTCGGACATGCCTCACAGCATGCCCCTTAGCGAAAGAGACTATATCAGACATTTTAGGAAGCGGTATACGAAAGCGAAAAGAGACGATGTCGAAGGGGAAAGCTATAAAACGTCAACTACTCGGTGTAGTTGACGATTCTGTTAAGCGAAGTGTGTGGCCACTAGTACAAATGCGACAAGATATCATGACAGTTTTGACTTTTGAATCATACGTGATTGATAACATTCAGCCAACATATTTGATACCGAGTTATGAATCATATTTATGTTTATTTTTTATTTTCAGAATTATGTCACACGATGATAAGTAGCAAGTTAAGTTGACAACTGAAGGGAAGTTGGTCGACTAATAAGTCGAGTTTATAAACCTATGATGTTCTATACATATCCTATAACTACCAGAACATTGTGGTAAGACCATCTTGCGACATTCGAGGCTATCTATACCATCCTTGATAAACCCTAAGCTAGGGGTCCTGATGTATTTCCCGGCCCACGAAGCCGTAGTCCAGTACTTGAACCAAATCGTCCAGCCGCTCAATCACTAGGTCAGTGTGTTCGTGGTCAGCCAGATGGCTATTCGCATCATTAACAAGCAGCACCGTAGCAGCACCGGCGCGTCGCCCAGCCGTCATATCGTCGATCGAGTCGCCCACCATAATCAAGCCCGACGCATCGCCCACCTCACTCAACTCCGCGCCGTCACGCCCCACCGCACCCTCCTTCTCCCGCGCACTACTACCAGCACTCTCTTCCTCCAGCACCGCTCTCACATTACCCTCATCCCTCGGCCCCTCCACAGCCCTCACGAGTCCCCAGCTCCGCGCTATATACAGCAAGCCCGCGGGATCCGGCTTCGGCGGGCGGAAGTCGCGCGTGACGACCGGGTGGAAGACATGGCCGGCCAGGAATTTGCTGAGTAGGTGCGAGACGGGCGTCTCGAAGTTGCGCGTGCAGATCCCCTTGCGGATGTTCCTCGAGTCGAGGTACGCCATTAGGTCGGCTAGTCCGGGCTGCGCGACCTGTGCGGTCATGGACTGCCGCTCGATGGCGCGGATGACCTCCATGGCGGATTCTTGCTGGGTGGCCGTGGGGAGCGAGTATATGTGCTCTAGGATGTCGATGTGCTTGGGGATTTGCAGCGCGGCGCGCATTTCGGAGAACATGTGATTTTGGGGGAGGCTGGAGGGTTGTTAGTAGGTTGACGTTGGGATCTTGTTTATAGGGTGGGTGTATAGGTGGATGTATGTGTTGTGAGGTATTCTTCCTACTGGCCTAATCCAAGGTTATAGGTGTATATATCGACTTATGAGTTTGGGAATGTTCGCTTAAGACTCAATAGCCATGAAGATATCATAATACTAAACTTTCTCATGTGAAAATGTAAGGATCCTGAGTCCGAATGTTCTTCTCACTGCCAGCCAGCTTCATAGACATGGTTGAAATGTACTTTCTCCCGACTCTCATTTTACAAATGTGTATGGTACGTGCTAAGCTTATCCTTATTGATCACTCACCAGAGAGTCCCGTCGACATCGAATATCACCCCGTGCAACTTGGGTAAGTCATGATGCTGGCCAGTTGCAAGCTCCGTAAGAGGAGCAAACCGTCTCGAACGTGGCAGATATTGGGTCATCGTGCTGAAGCATAACCTCTTATACATAGAAAATTACCTAATGTTTTAAATTGTTCCAAATTGGTATAAAATCTAACAGGGAGTTGTTGAGGGTTATTTTATATGTAAATGTCATGGTAGTAAAGTAATTGCTACCTTAGGTAGTTTTATGTTTATTTCGGTTACGGCGTTTCCTTCTGACGTATAAACGGTACCTGGCAGGATGTACCGTACCGTTTTAGCTATAGTGTGGCTCGTGCAACACGGCCTGTTAGCGCCATCGCAAACGCAAACAAGCTCGAGTCCGGGGCGGTTAGCCGTCTTCTGGACACCTAAACCCGTTAAGCCGTACCTCCGTTAAACATCCAACCGTCAACAGTCGCTCAACCTGTAATTCTTACTGCATCTAGGTACATAATATTATAGCAGTTTGATTTATAGAACGCGCATCACCAAATATTGAACAACCTAGAATTACCTGGGACAGGCCTACTTAAGTTAGGACAAAATGGCTGACGAGGAGAAGGCTAAGGCCGAGAAGCTTGCTGCGGCAAAGAAGAAGGTATGAGTTGATACTATACACGAGAGCCTCATTTAGTAGCCAATTAGATGCTAAAACCAAAGTTCCACAGCTCGAGCAGAGGAAGAAGCAGATGGCCAAGAAAGGAGGGGCTTCAAAGCAACAAGACAAGGAGAAGGAAAAAGAAGAACCTACTACCGCCGAATCGAAGTCCGAAACAACTCCCGTAGGCGAACCGGCTATTGAAGATGCACCTGCAGAGCCACTAGGCTCTCCTACCACACCCAGTGCAGCCTCGTTATCTCACCAGTCCAAACTCCGTTCTTCGTCCTTCCGCCAAGGCACAGTATCACCTACCGGGTTCCCACTGAGCCCCGAAGGCGAGACAGCGCCTGATATATACCGGAAGCAAGTGGCGCGCATAGACGACCTAGAAAAGGAGAATAAGAGGCTCGCAAAAGAGGCCGGCGACGCGGAAAAGCGATGGCAAAAAGCCGAAGAAGAGCTCGCTGATCTGCGGGAAGCCGATCGCGATGGTTCGGATAGCCAAGTCGAGAAGCTAGTACGGAAATATTCTTATATTCATATCGTTTATCTCGCAAGCTAACTTGTCATACTTGTAGAAATCAGAGATCGCCGCCCTCCAACGTCAGAACTCGCAGCTCCAATCTGCTGCTTCGAAGCGCCATGGCTCGTCGCCTTCTATCTCCATGTCCTCTCCCCCAGGGGAATTACAAGCCCAGCTAGCCTCGAAGTCCTCCACCATAGAAACCATGGAGCTAGAGATCTCCCGCCTACGCGCCCAAGCTGAGCGACAAGCTTCCGCGGGTGGTACCGACCGCGAACAGATCACAGCTCTGGAAGAGAAGCTGGCGCGGTCCGAGCAGGCTGCTATGAAGGCGCAGCGTGAGCTTGCCGACCTTAAGCGGAATCTAGAACGCACAACCGAGCGCGTCGTAAAGGAAGGCAGCGAGCGCACAAGCGCAGAGACAAAGCTGCGTAGTCTCGAGCATGAAGTCGAAGACTTGAAGGGAGAAAAGGCAGAACTTGAGAAGAAGGTAGATGCGCTAGAAAAGAAGGTCACTGCCCTCGGCACCCTGCACAAAGAGAATGACAGCCGGTCGCAGGCCTTACGCAAAGACAAAGAACGCGCGGAGAAGGAGGCGCAAGACGCCAAGGCCAAGATCGAGAAGCTAGAGTCCGAGAATGCGCGTCTACGCAAGAAGGACGCTGCGGAAGGTGGCGGCGACGATGACGGAGTCGATGAGCTGGAAGATGAGGAGCGCCAGCGCATGGAGAAGAAGATCCGCGACCTCGAGAGCGAGGTCTACGACCTGCGCCGCGGAATCTGGCACCAGCGACGCAAGGAAATGGAGCACGGCCCCGACGACCCCGCCCTATTAAGTCCCGGTGGTGGGGGCTTCACGAACATCGACCTGGGCGGGACCGGCGCGGCGCGCAAGCCCGGGAGCAGGGGCATTGGCGATTTCTTCGCGAGCGGTATCAATGCTTTGACGGGTGGTACTCCGGCCGATGAAAAAGCCGATAACGAAGGGTTCCTGGATGACGACGCCGATATGGAGTTCGACGAGGAGGCGTTCCTGAAGGCGCAGCAGGAGGATGCGAAGAGGAGGCTTGAGCGAGTCCGGGAACTCAAGCGTGGGTTGAAGAATTGGGAGGGGTGGAGGCTGGATCTTGTGGATGCTAGGAGAGGCGGTGGGGGGTATGGTGCTGGGGAGGTTTTTGAGGTTTGAGGTTGAGGTGTTTGGGTTAGGGATTAGGACCTCATGTATGGAGAGGGACTACGTATGAGGGGGTGGAGGGAACGCAATATAGATGCGAGATACGTGTGTATGACTAAAGACGAGGTTCACGACCTCGTAGCTATAAGCAATGAAGAGTATGCTTGATCATTAGGCTTGAGACCCGTAGAGCAGTTGATTATGAGATGCTTAACCAGCGTAACGTGGAAAGAATTAAGCCCCTATTCTGGACGCTTTTAAGTGTTGATCCACAATATCTTCTTAACAGAGATCAACACTGCAAATTATTATGATATATTCTATACAATGGTATCATATCCTCTTATACATAATGCCCACTCCGTATACTTCCTTTTCTCTTTCCAAGACAGATTACAGGCATACGCACTCTAAATGGCATTACAACATTAGGTTAGGTAATTAATTACTGGTCGAACTCTCCAGCGTAAAGAAGATCCCGGGGGTTCATCTGTTCCCAGACGGACCGCAGATTGAGCTCTTCCTCGCGGCGAGTCACCGCTGTTCCGTTTCCTGCCAGTTCCTTGTCGGCCTCCTCGCGGGCAAGTTGCACTGCACGTTTTAGTTAGTTAGGTACATACAGCAGGACAGGTACGGCGCAAGTTTTTCGAGAAATATAATAGAATAGAATTTAACGGAAATAATATCTAGCGGGAACAAACAAACAAACTCACCGTGCAGGTAGACAGCAGTCCGCTTGCCGGTGAAAAGCGCGTGCGGCACGTTGGTCACGTTGTCCGAGTTGGCGTCGCCGATGGCGTATACGCCGGGGACGTTGGTCGCCAGGCCCTTGGCGTTGTCGGCGGATAGGCGGCCGCCGTACAGCGCGACGCCGAGCTTCTCGCCGATGTCGGAGCGCTGCTCGTCGGGGAAGCTGGTGAAGAAGGCGGCTCGCTCGACGGACTCGCCCTCGGTGAAGTCGACGCTGAATAAGTCGTACTCAGGGGCCGTCGGCAGACTGGGGTCCGCGGGCGGGTCGCCGCCGTCGCGCAGGCGGTTGATGCGTGCGATGGTGCGGTTCTCGACTGTTACGTTGTGGATCTGGAGGTACTTCTCCCAGTTCGGGAAGCTCTTCTCGGCGGCGGCGCGCGCGTCGGGGGTGTCGGTGCCGTTTACGAAGGCGATGATGTCTGAGTTTAGCGTCGAGATCTCGCGTACTAGACCTGCGGCGTCTTCAAGCGGGCCCAGGAGGCCGAGGGACTGGTCTGCGTGCTCGTGTCCGTCGCACCATGGGCACCAGAAGATACCCTTGCCCCAGTTCTCCAGCAGGCCCGGGGTATCGGGTATAAGGTCGTGAAGCCCGGTCGCGAGGATGATTTTCTTGGCGCTCACGGTGCCGTCGGTACCGTTGAGGAAAGTCGTTGCGACGTTGAACTCTGTGTTGTTGTTCAGCGGCTCGATGCTGGTGACTGTCCCGTTGACAGCCGATACGGTTTCATAATGAGCGATCTGCTGGCGAGCGGCCCAGCGGTAGTACGCCGGTGTGACTCCTATTCCGATATCAGTCCTACGAGAAACTAACGAGGTATCACTGGTCACGCGACCGTAACTCACCGTCGAAGCCGATGACGTCGTGCATGTGTCTCGTCGGCCCGTTGCGATACTCTCCCGAGTCGATCAACAGGACATTCCTGCGTACGCGAGCGAGACCGCTCAAAGCGCTTAGGCCTGACGGGCCACCCCCGATTATAATAGCATCGTAAGTCGGGCCGTCGCGAGGCTTAAGAGACGTAGCTCCAGCAAGTGAGAGCAGCGGCAGAGCGCTTAAAGCGAGTATGTTCTTCATGGTTGCTTGATATCGCTAATAGTTGACTTGACGCCTTAAACTCCTTGAAACCTGGCCTACCGAACCGTAAGAAACTTATAGGAATAAGCTCTTCTCTCTACCAAAACGAAGAGGAGGACGTGGGAATGCCCAGTTTTATAGGTAGCTAATAGAACCTTTCGTATATGTATAGGCGGGTAGACAAAAAAAACAAGTTGAACGTGCCCCCTGGCAGATGATCCCTACCGTATATTCCTATAAATGGTAAGACAGGCAAGTTTAGGTCACTTGGCAGATCACGACATTTCGCGTTTGCCGTAACGACGCCAGTCCGTGGTTAAAGCCTATGTACATACGCTTCAGCCCGCATCGAAAGTTGCATCAATCGCCCCAAATTAACTCCAGCTATTTACCTTGCTACGCTGCTACGCTACGCCGATCCAAGCATCATAAGGTTACGTTAGTATCCCATCCCACTTTGAATACTACATACTACATATGTACAACGTGAGGCACGCTCCGGACAGGGAAGAGACCATTTGACGTGTGGAAAACCTCATCAACACGAGAACGGGAAATCTTGTCGATACGTACGTATTTTGAGATGCGACAGACCGACGGCTTGTTGCATTGTACCTTGCGCCATGCCAAGCCAAAATTACATCTTTAGGTACATAGTACTATTGCGCTGAGATGACGAGTTCCAATATCTTTGAGTGAGAATCGTCACGACTATTGGTGATAGACTATTGGTGATAAACTATTAGTGATAAACTATTGGTGATAAACTATTGGTGATAAACTATTGGTGATGTTTTGTTTTAATAAAGGTTTCCCCAAGATCAGGTACGATACAATAATTGCCAAGAAAGATTTAGCCCAATTTAAGGTTGAGAGGCGCAATATGCAGGTGCGCTATACGGACCTAGCCGCCTTGGCGCTAAGCGAGGCGCATTCTTCAAACGAGGTACCTATAAATTTACCTCTCAATCCGCCAATAAAAAGGAACGTGCGCAACTGAACCATCTCAACATTTCAGCTGTCACCGTGTCACTGCATCACTTTACCCGTCCAAGACCTTTTTGAATGCCGGTGACCGGAACACACGGAACTATCGATCAACTGACGGCTATCACCAACGGTATTACCGAGTCCTACTTCTTTCTGCACACGAACACCAATTTCAGATATTCGGTGGACGGGAAAGTGCATATGAATTTTCACAGCTGAAACCCCGGAAAATCGCATCGCGCTACGCCGCAGGTCTAAATATAATACGTACTAGAACGATTCTCTGCAAGGGTTCCTGGGCTCTTCTCGGTCAGCAGGTGATTCCTTTTTATCTCCAAACGTGCCCGAGAAGGCAGGTAGAAGCCTCGCGAATAATAGGATCGGATTGCACAATAGTTTCATTTCCTAATTCAAAGTTAGATGTCTGTCTTTTCAGCCTCTTTTTTTTTTTTCAAATCTTTTTTTCATCTCCTTTGCTTAGGTTATGATCTGATAATCATAGACGATTGCTAGTGGAGAAGATCTTAGATGACAACTCGTACATTATATGCAATCCACATTATATGCAATCCACATTTACTCTTAAACATATAGCCTACTACAAGGCTTTCGGGGGTATTTTAGTAGTTCATACTACTCGGCCAAACCTACTTCCATCACAGCCATTGCACTCCCAGAAGGCTGCTTCCAGCTCACTAACTGTAGCTTTGGTTCCGCGCTTTCAAACAACTCCTCCCAGTCTGTTAGATTTCTCTCCTGACTGTTGAAAGCTTGCGCCATGGAAAGATCTCGCACGCGCAGCATAGCCTCTTGAGTCCTCCCAATCGTGCCGGGAGGAGGTAAGATAATATCCATAATGACGATCCGTGCGCTGGACTTCTTTCCGTCTCGCAAAGCCGTCGCTAGTTGACAGAGGATCTCGCGAGCGCGGGCTGCAGGCCAGTCGTGTAGAATCTTTCGTAGGAGGTACACGTCGGGTGAAGACGAGCCGGGCTGATGCGGAGGCTGAGGGTCGAAGAAACTATGTGCTGTAAACTGGATGCGCGAAGTAATCGTATCAGGGAGTTCTGATAGTGTTGAAGATAGTGCTTCGACGGCCTCGGGGAGGTCCTGGACTGTGAATTTGAATCCGGGATAGGACTTTGCGAGAGCTACGGATACGAATCCGTTTGATCCGCCCACCTATGAGCATAATTATCATTAAAGATGCCCGATTTCGTATCATAAGGGGACTTACATCAATGATGTGTGCGTTAGCATCTAATTTAGCCCAGTCAAACCCATCAAGAACATGCTCCAACCGCATCCCTTCACTCAACCCCTGGCTTTGCATATACCTGCTAAACAAGTCAACCATACCCGGGACGTCCTTGAGATACTCGAAGAACGGTTTTGTCGTGCCTCCAAATACATTCCACGCCGTCTCGTCCAAAGCTTTCGAGTCACCCCACTTCTCCGTTGCCTCCGTCATGGCTTGGGTCGCGGGTTCTCCGTATTTGGTTATGAAAATAGCCCAGTCTCGGAGAAGCGCATCTGTCGCGAAGCGTAAAGAGAGCGGGCTATGCGCTATGTGGACGGGATCCGGCTCGGTGAATAAACCCGCTGTCATGGTCATCCGTGCTACAGATTGCAGACGGGAGAGAGGCACGGAGGCGAGGGAGGCGAGGGATGTGTATGAAATTGGCTTGTGGTCCGTTGGAACATGAGTAAAGATCTCGAAGTGGAGCAACCAACGGAGACAGGAGAAGGCATTGTACTGTATTGAGCGAGCATGGTTAGCAAATACATCAACCAAACTTTATATCATCAAGTCTGGTGTATAAGAAGCATCTTTAGTCCGTACCTGAATTTGATACTGCTCAAGGAGATCCGCGGGCCCTCTAGCTCGCACCTGGATTTCCTGCGTAATTTCAAGTAGCTCCCGGCGGGCTTTCTTGAGCTCTGGGGATTGACCTTCTAACTGGAACAGAACTTGACCAGTTGATTTAGGGGTAAGGGTTTCGACTTTCTCAACTTTGCTGAGAAGTTGCTGTGTGAGTTCGGACAAAGAACTTGAGGAATACATGTTGGGCGAGAAATATGTTTAAGGACCACCTGTTATGCAGAAGAGATGAAGTGAGTAGGGCTGCTTTGCACTGAAAAAAGGAGAATAGAATTTGACTTTACTTCAATCTCGATATTTATAATGGATATCGTAACTTGTGTGACAATATTTTCGGGTAATTTTGTTTCGATCTTCTCACCAAAGCTCAGTCATCGAATCCTCCCGGAAATCCTAACCCAACACATATTACTTATTCGTAACGATGATGTAACTCGGGGTTCTTGAATTTGTATTTGTACACCGGGTAATATTTTACATAGGATTGATATGTGGTTACTCATGAAAACTGGCTGAATACGCAGCTCGGGGGGGCTGAAGAGAGGGTTTTAGATTTAAGATTGATGTACAGGGGTTCTCATTTTTATAGTCGTCATAGGCTATCAGAAGTAAACAAGAATATGTCGTCTAATAATTTTAATAGGTACAATAGGCAAGTTAGAATGCTTTAGGTAACTCTGTAATTTCAACACTCACATGTTTAATCCAGATCTTTAGATCATTGAGATTTCTACGTAGGGTCAGGTCAATAGCTTTTATCTATATTACCTAATGGTTTAGTCTTGTACTTCAAAGAGTTGTGTTCCCACATCGTGCTCAGATCCTTAAAAAGATGGTAAGTCCACGCTAGTTAAATGAATCTAGTCAAGATCTTCTAGCATGTCATTATTTTAATGTCAACCATAACATCATTCTTCTTACTTCCTTTTTGGTGAAGTTCTGAGATAATATCATGAAACATTTTTAAAATGTGCAAACAACAGCATAATACTTTCCTACACTTGGCTCCTAACTAGACAGAGCATCTTATTAGAGGGTCAACTCAAGTTAATTTATCCAAGCTAGTCTATGTGTTATAGGCATGATACGTCAACAGTTGCCTTTAAGTGTTGAAGATAATTTACTTGCGGACTCAAAATTAAGTATGTAAGTTGGTTCAATAAGCTGACGTTGGAGTTAACACATGTTGCCAAGGCTTGAATATTTAAGGCTTAACTAGTTGGATACCTAAAGTTCTAGACCAATGAGCTGAGCCGCATGAATAGCAACGACATGGTTTTGGTGAGGATAAATTCATACGCAAGAGGCGTTACCCGAAGAACGGGCCAACAAATATTCTTTCACTAGATGTTGTAATATATCCCATCATATGCCCCTTTTGTCTATAACCTATTGTGACTGAAACGGATTGGTGAAGACATCGATAAATCATAGCCAAATTAGCAACTCTTACTGGTTTGACCTAGAATTTGGATTTCATCTAGTAGGTAGCCTATAGAAAATGATTTAAGAGGAATCAAAGAAGTCGTTAGGTCAGATATTTGCGCAAATCCACGTGTAGGATTCCCTGAACGGCGTAGTCACCACCGGCGATGTCATCCTTCGCAAGATTAGTACTTACATGGTAAAGTGATTACCGTCACCCTGGAATAGACATGGAAGTAATAGAAACTTGATTTAAATCCTATTGTTTCGTGTTGTTTACGGTCTGCTATTATGATGACCCGAGGTTTGTTTTAGCGGACAATATTGGCGGAAGGTTTTTGGTAGTACATTCCTATGTAGGCTAAAACTATTTAAATCTTACGAAAAGTTAAGTTTTCCAACCGGTTTATTTTCCTAGACGGCTTTCCTCCGCGTGGAACGGGACTGGGACTAGGTCTGTTGTATAATAGTAAAAAGGCTAAAGATGAGAGGCTACGGGTACTGCATAGATCTGAAAATGAGAGTTAGCAGTAAGAAGAATGATTATCGAAAGATTATAGGCCTTAAAACACTAGAAGGAGACCTGCGACAACCTCTGCATAGTCAAACCCCCTATCTCACAGGTCTGTACTTGAGGCTCTCATATAGACGTTACTAGTAGTATCAGCCTTTAGAGAATGATAAAATACACATTTCAGTACTCGGGGATGATGCACGAGAATAGGTACCTGTATTTATTCCTGACTCTGGTTCCTGGATATCTTTTCCTCCACCAACACCTTCCATAATATCCGCGCCGATCATCTGACGGAACCGTCGGGATCCGAAAAGTTAGAGGCACTGGTTGGTTGGATACGGAAACTGTCAACCATGTCTCACTTCCTAGTGCTGATAGGATAAAGATTGTGCCACGGCTCTGTGGTATCACCACAGTGGCAGCCGGAGAGGCGTACAATTTCGTATCATGGGACCCGCTTGTCTAGCAGTCTTCTAGAATGAGATAATCGATTGTAGGCTGGTTAAAGAGACGATCGCTGATGGCCAAGTCTTACCTGCCAAGATTTCTAAGCATGATGAGTATCACGAGGTAGTACAAAAAGCATGGAACTAAGTTCGTTATTTCGCAAAGAGCTCTAGCTCGGCTGATCGAGTTTATGAAATAGAGAAATTTAAAAACTTTCGCCTAAAAGCATATTGGGATTTGACTAAAGTGTAAATCTGCCTATTAATACTCATTATACCCCTGGTATCGTAGTGATTGGTTTAACCTACTTATTGTATCTTGAAAAGTTGCGTAGTTGAGTTCCATAGAAGTGTAATATATCTGTTACAGGTCTTAGTCTAGGCAAGACTTCAAAGGCGGCAACGTTATAGAATTGCGATTGAAGTATTACACCTACAAGACGGATTCTACAATATTTTCATCAGAGAAGCTGATTAGCTACCTATACATCCTAGTATACGGTTCTTTCGTCTCCTATTGTGCGGACGTGGGAGGTTTACGGGGTTATAGCACCGAGCTACTCCACCACATCTGTCTCCTTTTAAATACCACAATATGACTATCCCAAGTTATGTAGAGACTTGCATGCTATCTTGGATCATTCTGAAAGAGGGCATAGCATTATCTATGAGTGTAATGACATCTATGCCTCCTGGCTGGACGCCTTAGCGCCATAGATGCGCCCGCTGTAACTATCCAGGTAGTCTATAGCCACTAATAGACGTAAACGTGATCATAATAGTGATAAGGAGGGTGGGGTGAAGTCATATGGATGGATTTTACCTCGTACAACATGGGATGAAAATAAGCCGCTTCCTTAAAGGAACTAGGCATGCATGCCTCGTGTATTACAAGCTGCACTATCGTTTGCTATATTCGGTGGTTACCTTTGTTTATGCTGTGCTAGGTGTAAGTGTATCTCGATATGGGTAAGTGAATATAGTATATAGTGTGTATCGTAGTTAGGTACCTATTATATAAAATTTATACATTGGACGTTCTTAAATCTATCCCAGAAGTAAGGAAGGGATACTCACGAACCCCCAGATCCTCTGAGTCTTTCCAATTCCAAGTGCCCCTAGAGTCTCTCGCCACCAGTATAGACATGTTCCGCTGGCCTCCAACGCTTGATGCATCCCCTATTTTCTCCGCCAAGAAACTCGCAAACACGGGTCAGATTCATCGTGCCTTTGCCGCTGAGCTTGTCTCGCATCTAAGACAGCATGGTTTCGCCCGTCTGCGTAACTACGGCGTCGCTCCACGGGCTATCAGGGTATTGTTCAATTATGTACGCCCATCATAGTTCTTAGAATACCTACTACCTTTTACTACAAGTTATAGGTTATAGGCAATGTCTAACTCCTCTTGATCCCTCTACACAGCACCGTCTTTTCTTCAACCTCTCTCTTCCTGCTAAACTTAGTGTTCGCCATCCCGACGGCGAGGCCCCGGCAAGGGGATACTCGCCATGGGCTTACGAAAAGACTGCTATAGTGCGGCCCGATCTTCATGACGCCCCGAACCTAAATACATTTTCCTCCTATAATTCACACCAGATCGAAGTCTCCACCAGCTCTTCCAAGGCGCAGCTTCTGGACGCCCGTGAGAAATTCGCTATTGGCCCTCCTGGAGACTATTCCTTCCCCACACCCCGGCTTGCCGAGGCCTTGCTACCAGGCTTCAATAGCACAACCCGGGGCGCATATCTGAAGATAATTAAAGCATGCAACATGTTACTCGCCGCGATCGAGCTGGGCCTTAACGTCCCTCCAGGGACCCTTAACCCGCCCGCCACCGATGGCCTTGGGACTGAGCTGAACCTGAATTTCTATCCGGAGGTTGCGCGGGACATGGTTGATGGTGGCGTTGGGGATGATGTGGCCATGTGCCGCATCTGGCCGCACTCAGACCTCGGGGTTATAAGCGCACTCTTCCAGGATGGCGTTGGTGCGTCCGGGCTTGAGCTCGAGGTGCGCGGATTAGGTGAGGACCGCCGCAAATTCGCTCCCGTGTTCGTGGAGCAGGAAGGTGATGTCGTGCTACTGGTGTCGGACACGCTGGAGCGCTGGACAAATGGGAATTTGCGTGCTGCTTTGCACCGTGTCGGTTTACCACCTGAGACTGGGATGTCGCGCGTGCCGGAACGAAGGTCAGCCGTCATGTTCTTCCGCCCACCGCCGACTGCGGATATAGGTCCCAAGTCGCAATTTGTATCGGCTGATAATCCGGCTCGATATGATTATATTACTGCTGGAGACTATTTGAAAGTCAATAACAAGAAGCTTTATTAGGTTGAGTACTTGAAGGAATACGGAGTACTTACGCATAGTAAAGGCCCGTGCACGATATAACCCCTTTAACAACGACTTCAAAGACCTTGTCACCGCGAGACTTACAATTATGAGAAGGTTATATACGTTTAGTTATTATAAAAGAATTTTAAAAGCAAGCCACGAATATAGTTTAAATAAAAGTGTTGGAATATATAAAGATATAATAGATATGCTTATCCAGTTTTTCTAATAGATAACATAACAATATAACTAGGTAGTTAATACATACCTCATAACCTGCGTTTAATTTCAACACTATATGCCGTCAATTTTGCCGATATTACTTACATGAGGAAAATTTAAAGAAGCTCACGTTCGTAAAATCCCGGATCTCTTAAACTCATCATCATCATCATAGACGAATGATTAAGACGTAATGGAGCAGGTATTGTTTCTAAAAGTTCTAAGGTTTTCAAAAAGTTCTGGGTCGCAAGCGCTACAAACGCGGAATTATCGGTCAGACGATTCCATGAACGGTGCATTCCGTCAAGAAGATATCCAAGAGGCGTACTATAAGATGATTAGTCCTCAGATCGAAATTGATTGGAGTTAAAAAAAAAAGCTCTTACCCAAATATTGAATAATCATCTATAGGCACGCCTATCTCTTTTAACGCGACCACAAACTGCATGAAGACAACTACTGCTTCGTCGGATCCCATATAGCCAGAATACAAAAATATGTCTTCAACCACTCTCTAGGAGATAGCTTTTCGTTAGTCAATCTCGTCGAATGGTATTCTAGGAAGGTTTGTAGGGTGAATTGACGAACATGTAGCAAGCTCTGACCGTATTTATCAACATCTGTTGGCCACCCTTCACCATTTGTAAAAATCCTTTTAAGACTAATCAAGCTGTCCTTGAATAAGTCTTCCAACTCTCGTATACTTTTAATATGACACAAATTATTTCCGGCCCTTCTGATTACGTCGAACGCGGGAGAATCCGGCGGCACAGTCATTCGAACCGTTAGATTAGGGTAGACATGCCAGTCGCGAGCCCAATTCATGCGAGCGTACTCAACTTTACACGATATAGTGATCATGCGCCGGAAAGCTCGAAAGCTTTTGGTAAAGGTCCGCTCCTCGCGGTATCCCAAAGAATATATGCAGTGTGCCTGGTGCTGTTTTGTGAAATGGCGCTGCTGTGTCACTGGACAGGTGCAGAGAGAGTCAAAGATGTTCCGCACGGGCATCCTAAGATTCATCTTCTCCCTAACGCTGTTCCGGACCCAACGGCCATCATCGGTATTTGAGTTGTGTAATGCTGTTTGACCATTAACCCCAGCACCCGCAGCTAAAGCTCGGGTAAAGAACTCTCGCTGGTTGCTCTCTAGGGCCCCAAGTCGTTGATCCATATATTGTTTCAGTGATACTGACTGGGTTTCTTGGTTTGCGATGATTAGTGATGCCCGGTTGGATATGACATTTTGATTATCGCCCAAAGATGTCATTATATGCATCTCGGCTTCTCCAAGGCCACGCTGGAAGGAAGACTCCAGCTGGTCGACACCAGTATGTATCCCGGTTACTGCTTGTTTTACATCGGAGAGAGAAGATTGGACCTCTCTTTCCATCGACTCCACCGCGAGTGTTATCTTTGCAGATTCCGAAATAGCGATAATTCTTATTTCTCGCGTGGCATCCCTTCATAAAACCTGTCAGAGACGAATGTATTATAAATGAGTATAATACCCACAGATTGACCAACTGCAAGATTCCCAGTAGTCTAACGTGGAATTCTTGTAGTTGAGACCGCAGATCATCGAGTTTCGCCTTATCAAAGGGGTATTTCAATTTGTATATGAGCCTCCGATTGGATTTCTGGTCGGTATACTTGGCGTTGAGTTGCTTGAAATCATTCAGGCAAGCGTCGCAGGCCTGACGACATCCTTCTAAAGAGTTATGTACATCTCTACTAGGACTTTGCGATGCTGTAGTCCGGTCTTTGATTGAGCCGAGGAATGATTCTAGCTCTTTGGCGTGTCGCATTAATAGGACAAAGTCCACATCTTGAGATCGATACAATTTGCAATATTGGATGATTCCCCCAGCGGCCGTAATACCAAGTGAAATGAAGCCAGCAGCTCCAGCAGTAATAGATAAGGGGTCCATTACAGTAATCATGGCATGTGTAGTAATAGGAAGAGAGAAAATCAAATTTCCCTCGCCAGGCTCTGAAATTCATGTTATCTGCCATGGGGCTTCTGGGCCACCTTCGCCTTTATCACATGATACATGCCGTGCAACGCCAATTGAGCAAAAACCCTTGTGCCTACCCATATACTATCATTCAATACAGTATTTGAATCTGAGTACTTCTAGATACTTAATTCCAATAGAGTTTCTGTTCTGGTAGGCTAAGAGCTCCCTATTCTGGCTGATCAGTCAGTTATAAAGTATAAACCGTAATGATTAACTGAACATGAATATGGGAATAAAACCGGATAATAATCAAAAAGCACAACACATCTTAGAGAAAAGGGGACAGGAAACATCTCTTCACAAGAAAGAACCACAACTGTGATAGGAAACTTAAATATTCCTAAACTAGAGGATATACCTAGTAAACCTGTGTCTCAAGAGGGGTATCAGAGACAGCTCTAATCAACATAGGTCTAGCTAACTGCAAAGGCGCCCTCCATGGAAGAGGGTCCACCATAATATTACAAATAATTCTTCGTGCCTCATCTCATCTCATCTCTCAGCTATATCCACAATCGTGAACCCGAACACGTGCGACGATGCCTCCTAAACTGCAAGCCGTCTGCCAGAGCTCTTATCATATGTCAACCTCGTCCACGCAATCGAAAGTCTCTATCTAGAGACAAAGAAAACAAACCCTAATATCGTCGGAAAAGGGGGTGAACAAGAAGAGAAGCCTGCTTGCTCGTACAATTTATAAGAAAGGGGAATGTGCCGGCCTGAAAATGCTGTAAAGTATCAACCCTTAACGCCAAAGGCCCGTCCGTGCCAACCGTATATACCGGGACCGAGTCCATCTCGATTCATGTTCACATCCGCCAAGATAAAAACACACCCTGATTCGTCCAGGTAGTTGGCCCCCCAACGCCTGAGGCCATGCAAAAAGAAAAACGAAAAAAAATCCAGTGAAAATAATAAAGTGGGGTATCTTGGTGCAACAAACGACAAAGGAGAGGGTCTCACTGCGAGCCCGAATAGGACTGATCATCTTCTTCCTAATAATATCCCGGATCACATCCTATTTGATCATATGCTATCCGACCATATGTTCTCGTGGGGTCCTAGCCTAGAGAGCTTAGGCCAGTGTGTTGGGCCACATCAAGGTCGGGTTCAGTATCAGACTGTGCTTCAGATTGGGCCTCAGACTGAAGCTCGAGCCGAGGCTGAGGCAGAGGCAGAGGCTGGGGTTGGAGTCGGGACTGGGACTGGAGCTGGAGCTGGGACTTGGAGTTGGCAAGCTCCCTAAGCTGCAGGTTGATCTCTTCGATGGTCTGCATCATGGCCATGCTGTGGAGAGACTGGGCCCGGACCTCATTTCTCAGTTGCTGATTCTCCTGGTGCAGACGCTTCACTTCCTCACGGAGATCTGTTTCAGGCTTGCGTTTCTCGCCTATCTTCTCAGGGGCTACAACCTGCTGAAGAGGGGCCGGATTCTCCTCCAGCTCATCTTCAGGCAACTCCACTACTGTAGGACCATTGTTGGCGTCGCTAGGAGTATGCACTCGACGAAGATGCTCATTAAGATTCTCCATACGAGAGAAACCCTTGCCCTCGTGACGTTTGCAGTTTCCGTGTGGACAGTTAAGGGGGTTTTTCGGTCCACCATGCTTGTTATGAACCTCCCTCTCGTGACGTAAGAGACCGCCAGAATACGTAAATCCAGCAAGCTTCTCACATCCCGGTGACAAGCACTTATACGGTCGGTCATGCTTGTCCATGTGTTTGCTTTATAAACAAAGAGTTAGCAAGGTTGGCTTTCATAGACGTAAAGAAGATTGGGTTATATCTTACCTCCATTCGCACTTGCGACTGAATACCTTCACATCATCGGTGCAGCCGGCAAAGGAGCAAACAAACTTGCCCTCACGATTCTTATTCGCGATTCGGTTGGGCTTCACGATAGGGCCCAAACGGGGTGGTCGGGTATGATGACGATGTCCCGGCGTCGAAAGGCTTTCCGGAGGAGAGAGCGGCTGATCAAAAGGAGAAGGCGAATCCAAGCCATTAGAGCTGGGAGAAACTGGGAGTAGGACCTGTTCTTCCCCCGCACCGTATCCCACTAGACCATGTATAGAGGGCCCAGGAGAGAAACGGCTCTCTCCTTCCTGATCTTGACGGCTGTCGATGCCAGGCGGATATGGACCGGAGGGTAGGACAGTACGATCCTTGAACACAACACTCATTTTGATAGAGTAATTGGGAAGCTGTCTATTATAGGGTCGGTTGGCGGTGAAGACTTGGAGGAACTCGAGACGGACGCGGTCGTTGAATCTATCTTTCTGTTTAAGGGTATACTGTCGACAAATGCCAGGCCCTTCGACAGGTTTGGCGAGAGCGTAGTCGTAGTCTATAGATCGGTTTGTTAAGTGCTTGTGGATGGCAGCGACGTGGTTCTTGACGAAGTGGTGACCTAATGTGAAAGAAGTACCATTAGCAGCCCGACACGCCGATAGTATAAGTGTAAGGTATTCACGATGGAGATGAAATGATGCACGATTGGTAGGTGAAGCTAGCCACAGTATATCTTCCAAGCCGAAGCAACTTCGCACGGATAGAACGGCGACCCACCTATATGTCGTTAACCGAGTATTACTACATAGGTAGTATAAACTCGGCTAAAGACATATACATCAGGTACCTATGCAAGACACTTGGCTTGGCAAGCTAAAGTGACAGGGGATATGATTTTCTATAGAGCTGATTGGGCTGAAGAATGTAGGGCTTATGTAGACAGGTAATAAAGGATAAGATAATGTAACATCAACTTACCAGGTAAAACATCAATAGCTGGAGAAACTTCAATTGCATATGTCCAGTTGTCGTCACGCAAGTGAGCTTCACCCATCGCGGATCGAGGTTTCCGGGAGTCTAGGGGTTTTATACTTGTTAGCTTGGTATACTATTTTAGGCGGCAACAACAATTGCCCGACACGAGGCGTAGCTTCGAATCATCAATCAGGCTGAAGCATGACTCACCCCCGGCTGTTCGGTCATCCCCCCCAAGGGTATATTTCTGAATAGTTACCTCCGGCTGGGTCGCATTGTGGAGCATTGCATAAGGAATATCGGCGGCGACATCGAAATTGTTACCATGTCCGATTAGTTCCGAATTTGGAAAGCCTGGGTTGAAGAGATTCTGATGCCCCAGGCCCTGCTCCAGGCCCTGGTGATAACCCATACCGGGATCTGTTGCCTGGAAGCCAACGCCCGGAATAACCCAGATATTGTTAGGCAAATGATCTTGATGATTCGCCATGACTGACCTATTATCCGTGCATGTCAGTTATTATTACGCCCCCACGTACGATCGCGATCACGGACATACTATGGCAGACCAAGTGATCTAAAGCTGGTAGTCAATATCCTGTAGGTCCTTGGAAAGAAAAGGCAAATCAGTACAGTCCTGTAAACATAGTGTTCAGTGATAGGTCAGGTGCATAAGTAATTGGGCTAAGGCGTCGGGGAAAAGAGTACCATAGCCATCACCGTATTTCCATCATAGGCGTTTCTGAGTAACTTACCACCAAAGAGAATGTCCAAGGACCAAAAGTACTACGAGTTACTCTTATCAGTTCGGTGTGTCGAATCAGAGCCTTGCTTGTGATGATGTTAGGAATGAAAAAAAGACAATGCAGCCTTCGAGATGAGATATGCGGTGCCACACACAAATAAATTTAAGGAAGGCTGGTTTCGGGAATAATTTGTGTAAATGTACCACTTGGTGAAGTGTTGCCTAGGCGAGTAAACCCTAAATTTGTAGGTTCTCTTGTGTACCTTTAAAGTAAGAGGCAATAGCGGAGAGTTGGTTTGCACAAGTGCTGTAGGGAGGCCACGAGTCTGCAGGTCTTAGGATAGTTGCCCTGTAGTTTATGTAGCAGTGTTCAAGTAAGGCACCTAGAATCAGGAACAAACTAAGAGCCTCGAGTTATTTCTTAGGCGCCCTCGGCGATGTTGAACAAAACTCGACCCTTAGCCTTGGTGGTTTCCGACAAGCTTCCGTACTGTCCTAGATTGTGACTAAGGCATCAATTTTCCAGAATACTCCCCTTTGATCTTCTGAAACAGCCTGCATAGATGTTCACATCATAGGATTAAGTAAGACAAGTTGTCTTAGAGTTGAATTATTTTTCTTTAGACTACCTATCACAGAATACAAGTGTATGCCAGGGAAGGCAGGCGGCAACCTGACTCTATGGCCTTATCTCGTTACATGTATATAATGGTCAAGGCTCGCCCTTTCTCAAAGCTATAAATAACTCTAGGTACTCCGGTTCACAGGGTACTTGTCAGACCGATGCCCGGGTCTTGCCAGTAATTAGAAACCTGGGTAGGTACGGCAATCTACCCGTGCCGTTGATATATACACTGTATTTCGGTGAATACGAAGCTAAGCACTTGTAGCAAGATGTGAGGTAATAACGATCCTTGATTACCCAGAAGGAGAAGGCTACTGCTAATTCAAAAGAGGTGGTAGATATAGCAACCGGTAAGTTGGCTGCGCAGGGTCGGTTGATAGCCCCGATAGGTTGTTCCTAAAATAAGGCTGGCTGTGCTAGATAACCACGACATATCTATGCGCACCCTTTACAAGAAGCCCTAGGAATTAGAAGGCTGCTTCTAAGGTCGATAACCGGAAGCTTTGTGTGTTCTCGCCATTCCCATGACGTATTTCGTGTGTTGATATTTCGAGAGGTCCAGGTAGATATGCAATTCTGGAGCCTGATCTTCGACTTCTGCTGTTGACATGGGTTATTCTTCAAGAGACAACATCCTTGTTGATACTATCAAATTATTTTCAAGGTACCTATGGCACTTAAAACTGATGATATTAAAGCTTGTACTGTACAAATGGTAATAAAGTATTATAGGTATAGATGATGAGAAGCCTAGCAAATATCTAGACTTGTTAGTACCAGAGAATCTAAAGGTGGGGTGGGAAGCAAGCAACCGTAGGGTTACCAACCAAGATATCAATATGAGAACAAGTGGGAAAATACGATGGGAAACTTATCTGAGAATACCTAAGACATTGAAACAAATGCACCTTTTCGTCCTAAGTGCCTTGGTGATATAGGAGCCAGCATGAGAGATAATATCATGGGAATAGCGATGACAAACAAACATACAGCAGATGACGAGTAATAATTTGGAGAGGGTAATGAATGTACCTATGCCTAGGCAGCCACCAGGAGGACACCGATGGCTTTCAAAATTTATATTATATTCTTCCTGTGTTAGGCAGTTCCATTGTTTCACTGCGTAGTAGTTCATTGTAGTTCGGATAACTGAATTACATTAGTATATTGAATAACTCGATATAGTATTAAGCCGGTTAGTGTTCTTGGAGGTTTAAATACAGCCGAAGCCTTGCCCTACCTGTACGCTACCACGCTAAATCTAGCGTGGTAATAGCGGGAGGCCGGGTACTACTGTACGGCTGCTCTGCCTCTTCAGCCCTATAATATACGACAAGCGCGACGCGCTTAGAAGTTGAACTGCAACATTAAATCTAAATCGTTAGTAAGCACGTATTTATTGACTCACTGATCGTTATTTGCGACGCTATTGATTCTACCTGTTTCAATTATACCTTGTTGCAAAGTGCCGCTATGTCATCCCCCCCGACTCTCAGGTGCTCGATGCCGGCTGTGGTGTCGGCCACGTAGCGTTGCGCATGGCGAGGACCCATAGACTACGCGTCGATGCTATTGATGTCGTGGACAATCACGTTGCCAAAGCCCAACGAAATGTCGAGTGCTCGGGCTTACCAAAAGGCTCAGTTAGAGTGGGCAAGATGAATTATCACAATTTAAATACATTTGCCGCGGATTCTTTCGATGGTGTTTACACCATGGAGATCTTTGTACATGCTACCAACCCTAAGGCTATCCTAGCCGGCTTTTACCGCATTCTGCGCCCCGGCAGCCGTCTTGTACAGTTCGAATACGACCATAATTCCCTTGATAGCGCACCCTGTGATATTGCCGATTCAATAGTGAAAGTAAACAAGTATGCTGCCATGCCCACCAACGCTATATCACACCCTAGGGTGTTCGGGCAGATGCTAGAAGATGCAGGCTTTGAAAATATTGTTATCCATGATTTTTCTGATAATATTCGCCCTATGACACGGGTGTTTTTCCTTCTTGCTATCATTCCATATTTCTTTATTCGCGTGTTAAAGCTTGAACGCTACTTTGTCAATACAGTTGCAGGGGTGCAGTCTTACAAAGGTCGTAGTCGCTGGCATTATGTAGCTATTTCAGCCACAAAGCCTGGCGATCCAATCGAAGGGTTAGTCCAAATGGTATTATCACTATTCTTCATTGGTACTTTGCTGGTTATAGCTTCATCTGACTGCTTCTAGAACAAATTTAAATGTGATTTTACCAAAAGTATATCTTTCAAGTAACTTAGGCTAACTAGCTTATATATAACTAGTCTATAGCTTGGTAAGCTTCGCAACGTATTCCTCTGCTGAGGTTCTATTGCCTTATATGCTATATATCCTTCTACTTTATTAGCCACTTGTTGCATGTATATACCGAAAATGCCGCCTGAATCGTTATATTGCTATGTACTGGAAAGCTGCGCCCTTCATTATCTGTTGAAAAGCTAGTTCCGCAACCCCAAAATAGTACGTCTACCTAATCAATTAACACTAAGACTCATTTTGACTAACAATGCATATTTAGTCGTAAGGTTATAACAAAAAACATACGGTTAATAAAGAACATGTATAGATGGAATAATAGTCCATTGTCTTTGGTTAAACAATGTACACTTGCGCTATATCAGGCTCGAGACCTTTCGACACAGGCCTCAGAATATCATTCAACGCATCAAATTCCGATAGGTACCTACATAAGCCACACACGAACATCCAAGAATAAACGTCATCATTGCCTATCATCATGTCAGACTTCTCACCTATCCCGCAATTCCTCTTTGGGTGGACTCTTGCGCTCTTGGCCTTCGCGTTCTATATGTTCTGGGATGATGCACTTTATATATTCGTAAGGTTTGTATACTTCTACCTCACTGTAGCTGGCGCATGCCTCCTTATCACCATACACCCCGCACTATTCATGTGCGTCTTCTTGTACATCTGTTGCATGCGCTACTGAGCCTGTTCCAACAGCTTCCATATAGAATAGCGAGTTGGTTGGACTTTTACAGTATCTTTTGTCTTAGTAAGTAGAGGTTAATGTTTGGTTGCTGGTGTTTGGCCCGGACTGTTTACTATGAGTTGTGTAGTCTGTTTCACTTTCATAGTAAGGTACGAGCGTTATCTAGAAGAAAGTCAAAATAGTTAATGATCATTGATAGTTAATATAAAGCAACCTTGGAGGATATTGGTCTTTTTCCTCCGTTAGAGCATTAAATCTAAAAGAGTATCTCTGGTGGCGTAAAGCTCAAGTACCATTGCCCCTATGCTTGCATATTAGCACCACTTATCGAAGTACAAACACTAGCCACCACAGTATGGAGCATATATTTTGACGGCATCCTGCCTGGCTGCATATAGTGATATTATATATGACAGATCGGGCACCCTCAATTGGATGGGTGCGAATAATAAAGGGAACACTGGGTGGGTTGTGAAACATGTGCTTTTTATAGGTATCACATTACAGTGCATATTTTCTAGACGAGCTTGTCCAGGCAACAGCAGGCTCTTCTCTTTTATCTCAGTAAGATACCCCTACTAAAACTAAGTAGGATATTTCTCACAGCACAATTTCATCTTTCAAACTCGACTTTGATAGTTTTTTGTTTGAAGTACAAAAAGGGTTATCACCAATCAATATGGGCCAATACTGGAAGCTCATTAACTTTGACAAATGGTTGATGGTATTTTCGAGAGGCGTCAAAACGGGTCAGTTTATATGCTCTCTAGACGGAGTCCCAGTATTAGATTTCCTGGTGGTGCCCGACTTGAAAGATGCTCTATCACCTAAGTCAGAGCTTGCCAGAACACGAGAATACAAGTATGATCAAGCATTATAGTTATCAGAAATAAAAGGCAGTCTAGCTGACAAAGGAACAGCGTTGCTAGTCGTCTAGTGACTCTTCCACAGGAAATCTTTGACGCCATTGTCACCGAGTTACCCCACATAGAGGACATTCTGAGCTTGGCATTAACGTGCTCCTACCTATGGAGAGTCCTTCTACCAAACGTGAAATATTCCATTGAGGTTATCGAAGCACCATGGGCCGGCGACCGCCTGATTTTTGTTGGAGACTATGCTCGAGGGTTCCCCCCAAACTGCAAAGACTACGAAAACGAGAATATGCCGGAAATAGAAATGGACCCTAGAGAGGGAATTACTCCGGAGGCGGTAGACGCAAATCCCTTATATTACGGCATCAATTATTCATTGTCGTCGGGGTTCTGTATAGAAGAGCTGATGAAAGGGCGAGCCGGAGATTGCCCCGACATACAACTTCTCCTACGTCTAGTGACCATGCTTCGGAGTCATCCTGGCTCTCAGCGACCCGGGGTTTTACGAAATTTGACGAAGCAGCAATACGTTTTGGATTCAAAGCTTGCAGAGTCCAAGTACCCATATAGTCTAGTTGAAGCCATCGTAGTCCGAACTCGGTGGACTTGGGATACCTCGGATGCTGATGGTGTGGATGATTGGGTAGGAGATTGCTTCGATATTCGAAGCATCGAGCATGTCCCAGAGGGATGGACTGATGTCAGCGATGAGACAATCAACCTCATAGGCGACGCAATGATCCATTTCACACGGGACCCAGACTTGGAAGGCTTTAAGCTAACTAGCCGTCAAGTGGAGTATGCACGGGCGTGGGTTAAATAACTGTTACGAAGATTCTATTCGGAGGGAAGTTTGAACAGATCGGCCTCAAGCACACGTAGTGGCACGACATGGGAACGTTAAAGCAGACACGTAAAATGCAAAGAATAGCTACAATCAATTCAAAAAGTGAGCTGAGACTAGATTGGACCTTATTCAACTCAACAATATACATCATCATATTCTGGACTGTTATAAGTCACTTGTAAGACTCGATAATCTAAATTGTGTTCTCTCTACTACCCATACATCTAGGAATGGTTCTTTCGGGTTTTCGAACGAGATCAGATATCTACACTCTTAGAAAGACCCTGTAAATAATTAAAGCCAAACATCGTAAGGGGATGAGGTTGGTAAAGGGGGACGAGGGAAACTGCTGGGAGCACAACATGAAGGTTGACAATGCGCGAAGTAAATTGTATTGGCTTAACTAGAACCAAATCATATAAAAGGGGACAATAGTACCTAAGGTAATTAAACATTAAGAATCCAAGAGGTGTATTAGAATAAGTCACGCAACTGTTCTCCGCGGAGTTATGACTACCTATTATGCTGCCCTCACTTCCTCTTGAGAACCTCTATCCGTGATTAGGTTTTTTCATCTTTGGTATTGGTTTATTCCGCTTATAGGTACCTAAAACGCTTTAGAGACTATTTTATACTTTATCCCTTCGGCGGCGGATAGGGGGATGGACCCATCAACAGGCAGAGCGCATATAATTATCATAGACATGTAACAGTAATAATATCCTATGTAATGATTGAAAGATACCTACATACCTTATATCGCGGTGAAGAGTTGCACCAGCAAGTCATCCCCATAGGTATCCGAATCTCATTTCAACGTATTGTCAACTTTTATCTAAAGTGCCAGAGTGCCATTAATCGCACATCAGTCAGCCATCGAGATGAGGCATACTCTATACGCTTGTCCAATACATTTCGCGGTAAACTTCAAGCTCAACCTGAGCCAGAGGGAAAATGTATTGAAAATGAGCCAAACCAGTGGTTATTTGCTCAATACGCTCAAACCCTGCTTTTAGGAGTACCTTTTGGCTTGAACCATTAAGTCTTTCCGCCTTACCAATAACTCGCTCCTTGACTTTAGGCGGAGAATCAGTAGACTTTTCTTCTTCACCTCCAGGCCCGTGTATGGTATCAGGATGTACTGCGAAGGTTGCAGCACTACGAGGAAGATCCCAATAAAATTTCATAAAGCCCTTGACGGCCTCAGTCGCACACCCTTGGCCCCAATACTCTTTTCTGAGCATGTAACCAATGCTAGGCCAACCGTTACCAAACTGCATAATCAATTCCCCAATGTAGTCTCCTTCTTCGGCATCTGAAGTCCGACTGAGGATTGCAAAATATATGTTTGTTTCGGTCCAAGGTCTGAGACAGCTTACCAGTGCTCCAAAATTGAAGCTTAGGTCGTATTCGGGATCAGATCCACCTACATAAGCTAAAGCTGTGACTTCTGGTTGACTGTGAAGGGCATTAAACCCCTCTATATCTTTTAAACGAAGTGGCCGAATAATAAGGCGATCGGTGATGATAGGGTTGGCCCACGTTTGTATCTCTAAGACGGGAAGGGTCGTCTCCACGGTGATTTTAGGGGTTCTTGGTGGAGAGGTGGCACAGTCATAATACCTCGCCATGACGAATTAAAAAGAAAGCACGAGTCCGAATTCTCTATAGCGAAGATTCGTCTTAGAGTAGGATCGCTATGGCGAGGCCTGACTGTAGATCGAACAAGTTGAGTATGCCTAGAAATAAATGGTTGCCTATGTGCTTTGATCGTGGGTAATGGGTGAGATTAAATTCGTGAAGGGGAATAGGGGAATAACTCCACTTTTATAATTTTATAATTTTTTTTTTTTTTTTGCTAAACTGATTAGCACAATACCTTAGGCAATTAACGAAACTAGAGAGCGTCAGTATAAGACCTTATAGCGAGGAAAGACGCTACTATCGTATTATCAAGTGTGTCCTTGGGCACCTAATATAGGTAATGACATTGTTTGGGTCCGATTATGAATCTGTTCCAACGTACCCCTGAGTATAACAATGGAATTTCTGGCTCTTTCATTCGATGGAACAATATTTTTGGCAATAGCTACAGGCTATGCTATTGAAATCGAACAACAGGCTCCCCCTGGAACGAAGTCATTCGACCTGTCTGTTCCTGATCTGTAACATTATAATGTGTGCCCACTGGATATCTATCGTTTAGGAACAGGGCTGCTGTTCTTACACAACACCGGGGATCAGAAAGCTATATATGATGGCATTTACGGCTTCATCTAGGAATTTATTTCAACAGATCATTCAGCATCACCTTCGAGATCAAAGAAAAAGCCTGTCAAAAAGCAATTTCTACAGAACACCAGATCTTAACAAATTTACTCTCAATTCAAAACCAACACTACTTAGGTACTCAAGCTACCTAAAGTACATAATGGCCACTCTTTTAGGTCCAGTGACAACTTTCCAAGTAGGCGATATCGTCTATGGCTTGGCGCCTTGGCTGCTCGTCTCAGCCGCAGATGTCATTGTCCAGTTTGAAAGCAACGGGTTTCTTAACTCTACAACTCGCTGGGTCCTGTTCATGGCGACCCTCTGGACCATTCGTATGAGATTGTATCCTGCAGTACGTCGCCGTCAAGACCACTGGTTTAGAGACTTATGCAGTCACATTCTGTACGCTTCTTTTGATGCATTCGCACTCACGATTGCTGATTATCGTTTCTTCACCAGCAACTGGTGGGAGGCAGTAAAGGCACTCGTGATCGTCTTTACGTACTTTAGAATTTATCACATCATCGAACAGGGTCCTACCTTCCCGGAGCCTCCTACATTACGGTCTGGGGCTAACCCCCCTCGCACTCCACCACCGGCTCCGACCCCTTTCCCCGCCCCTTTCCCTACCCCTACCCGCGTCCCGATTCCTGCTCCAGCACCCGCTCCAGCTCCAGCTCCAGCTCCTGCTCCAGCTCCTGCTCCAGCTCCTGCTCCAGCTCCTGCTCCAGCTCCTGCTCCTGCCCCCGCACCTGCCCCGGCGCCTGCACCTGCACCTGCACCTGTACCTGCTCCGGCACCTGTACCTGTACCTGCTCCGGCGCCTGTCCCGGCCCCGGCTCCCGCTCCCGCTCCCGCTCCTACTCCTGCTCCCGCTCCAGGTCCCCAGGTCCGACCCCGAATTCGATTTCCAGTCGGACAGCAGGGTCAAAATCAGACACAAACTTGGGCTCAGCCTCAAGTACAATACCAGAACCAGGGGCAACCTAAGTTTCAACCTCAAGGCCAATACTCGGTACAACCCATCCAATGGGTACCGGCTGGGCCGACGGTAAAGCGCCAGCAAGCGGTACAGCCTCGACCTGTGCAGCTCAAGCAGCCGGAGATGGAACAAGTGCCGTCCAACGGCGGGTCATTTACTGCTCGCGCGATACACACCCTAAAGCCTTCGAAGAAGTAGTTGTCAGTGCCTAAGAGATAGAGGGATATATGAGTCCTCTGAATTGTTTTTTTTTTCTTTGTGCGGGAGTTATCTATTGCGGCTAGAAAAAGAGATCGAAAAATAAACCAAAAAAAAATTGTATTAAGATAGTTTAGTAATATGTTTGGATTTGTTTTAGTAAATAGTTTTAATAAAGAGTTTTTGCACTGTTTAACACTGGTTCACATGACTAAATATTGTCCGAATTGCTGATAACTTGATTATGTAGATGAGTTTACACTGATACATGAAACCCATAGCTGGCTTGCAACGCCTCAGGGGTAGTTTTTGTGGCGCTAGTCTCCTTTATATCATCACTTAGACATTCAAATTCCCGGTTTCCAAATTTTCTTCGGCCCCTTTTTCTACCCCTGATTAACAAGTAAAGTCATTGACTACCTAGGTAGGTACCTAAGCTAGTATATTGGCTATTTCATTGATCACTAACTGATATCTTCGGTAGATACCCGGTAACCTGTTGGCTTCTCTCATACATTAGGTAGTTTCCCATTGTTTTGACATAAATTGTGTTATAATATACCATTTCATAGGCTTATTACTACTCGCTATGTTTCTATCCCCTTTGGCAATACTGAATACCTATGTAAGATAGGTTGAGATCTCAAATATTTCCGTTTATTCGCCTTCACTAACTATATCATAGATGGCTTTGCCGCTTTAACAATTCTTCCAATGCTTTCCCCTATGCGATATAGTCATGTCAAATTTTATTTTATTCACTTGTAACTATCTCACTTAGGGGTATATAGTGCCTATTCGAATACTGATAGGAGTTATCTAACCTAGTATCTTGCCAATTCGGAGCCGGCCTATGTTACACCAACGCAACCATTTTCCCTTGGCTACCAACGTATAATTGGGGAAATATACTATAAATTGCTTTCGCAATATGTCGGGGTCCGGAGTGGGCAATCGCTCCTTACTGGGTTCTTATCTACCTACCCATAGACAACGGCGAGGCCCGTCAAGTACCGGCAATGTTATGGTTATATTGCGATGTCGTTATCGACGATCTTCTACCTGTCCGCAATAACTGTATAGGTTCCATTCATAGGTGCCATGTGGTGCATGGTGGGACCGTAAAAGACCCCGATTGCCGCCTGGAACCACGGAGGGGTATAAATGCCTTGTATGCGAGCACCACTAGTCAATGTTTCTTCAATCCTAATATACTATTACTACGCAGTTTTTTAGCCACAGAGAATATGCCGCTGCTACTCGTCGTCTACACGGTACTATTTCTTGCTGCATTTGGCAATGCTGCTGGAACACCACCGATAGGCTATCAGAGACAGACATTACTATCCAAATCCGCCCTAGGCAATGATTCATCCAAGACGGCCTCATGCTCAACATGTTCACTATATGAGCCAGCAGAGCAAGTGACTGCTCCAAAGGCCAATGCCTGGGCTCAAATAGCACCGGAAGATAATCTGGCTGTCTGGAATCTTCTTCACGACCCTGCTTCTAAGTTAAATCTAACCGATCCAGATACGGCAAAGGTGAACGACAACTACGTATGGTATATAGATACCGTGCCCGTCAACAAATCTGATGTACTTCCATACCTAGATGGATCAGGGCCAAAGCCTAGTTCGTGGGCTCGGGTTATCATATTCGAAGGTGGCAAACATGAGCCGGTGTCACAAGAGTACATGGTCGGTCCTTTGCCTGTGTCGAGTGAGACTGTTATCCAGAAACTGGACTATCCGTTCAATGGCGGGACAGGAGGTGCCGTGCCTTTCAACGGGCGATTTTTCGATGAGAAGCGACGTGAGGCCGCAGAACCCCTATTGGTTTCCGTGATGTCTAACCTTACTGATATTACGTCTGCGCTCCTCGGTGGTGTTTTCTACGGCTATAATGATTCCAGGTCGACTCTGGTAGCGGCTCCTACTACTCCCACGTCATTTAACGGAAGCCAGGCGTTTCAGGTCATTATGTTTAGGCTTCCTGGGCCTGCTAGTTATCTGAGGCCACTAGATTTCTACGTTATGCTCGACACCACTGGTACAGATGCTTCGCTGTATAAACTCAAGGGGCTGGTGACGAACACGCGATTCTTTCGGACGGTCGCAGAGCTTCGCGCAGCATTCAAAGCAGATGAGTTAGTCGAGGAGTTTTACCAGCCGTCCGACTACGATTGGGCGTTGGTCAAGTACAACGCTGCGATGGGGACTCGTGAGCTGGAAGATAAGTTCGCGCCGCAAAATCTCGAAGTCGGTGGCAAGCGGTACAAGCTGGACTCGGAGCAAAAGTACGTCGAGTACCTGGGATGGTCATTCTACGTCGCCCACTCACAGACCCTCGGGATCATGCTCTATGATATTCGCTTCAAAGGTGATCGGGTGCTGTACGAGTTATCGATGCAAGAAGCCGCTGCGCAATACGGCGGTTTCCAGCCAAAGGCCGCTTCGACCCTGTATCACGATACATATTTCCAGTTAGGCGCCGATTTGTTCCCGATGGTTGAGGGGTTTGACTGTCCGTTCGGCTCTACATTCTGGAACGTGACTGTTCATAATGGGAATACATCTACCGTCAATCCTAATTCTATCTGTATTTTTGAGTCAGATGCGGGGTTTCCCCTATCTCGACATCGCGAAGGGGACGTGTCTAACGACTACGGCTTCTCCAACCTGGGCGTTGTAAAAGGATCGTTACTGACACTGCGCTCCATCGCCACCGTAGGGAATTACGACTATCTATTCGATTACGCGTTCCATATTGATGGTAGTTTGGAGATCACGGTTCGAGCATCGGGGTATCTGCAATCCTCCTTTTTCTTCCGCGACCAGGGTGCGTGGGGTCCTCGCATCCAGGAGGCTACGCAAGGATCGCTACACGATCATGTGCTAACCTGGAAAGCCGACTTCGATATCCTCGGCACTGAGAATAATCTTCAAGTAACAGAGCTCAAGACGGTCAACACGACGCAGCCATGGTGGCCGGAGCTCGGCGAGTTCGAACAGATTGCGCTGGAGACTTATAATGTCAAGAAAGAGCGAGAGCTAAGCTGGGCAAATAATGGGCAGCTCATGTACGCTGTGAACCACGCCAGCGCGACGAATAAATGGGGTTCGCCGCGCGGATACCGCATCGTGCCAGGTAAATCAAATATCCGGCTCAGCACGTTAAAGTCACCGTTCTCACGACACAACACCGCGCTGTCCAAATCGCATCTAGTCGTAACGCGGCAGCATGATACAGAGCCATGGGGCAACAGTATCCAAAACCTCAATATGCCCTGGAAGCCACAGCAGGACTTCTCCAAGTTCCTAGACGGCGAAAGCGTCGAGGACACGGACCTCGTTATGTGGCTGAACCTGGGCATGCACCACTTCACGCGTAGCGAGGATATCCCTGTAACACTGTACTCCGAAGCCGTCAGCAGCATCATGTTCGCGCCGCAGAACTTCTTCGATCAATCTCAGGACGGCGACCTTAAGAATAGGAGGTGGTATACTGCACCGGGGACGACGGACGATAGCAATGCGACGGAGCTTGTTAGCGAAACATACGGGATCGACTTGCCGCAGTGCAATGTAGCGTTGCAAGAACCTACCGTCGCGCCTATTATACAGCTATAATAAGTACTTCCTAGCTCTCAAGGAAAGGGTATGTTATGCTTAAGCCCAAGTTTACCGATTCGCGCTTAGAAGTACGAAATAGGATATACCTTAAAATTCATAATACCATCTAACTAACATGATATCCATATAGTAGTTAGTTAGGTAGTCAATGATCGTTATCCGACGTTTGTTATGCCCATGGCTTAACCCCTATCCTGTCCCACTATAATTTCTCTGAAGCCGGCGTAGAGATGCGACCCATATAACATCAGAAGCAAAATACGGTTCCTCTTCAGAGCTGTTTTTGCTTGGGCGCCTTCGCGATTAGAGCTAGTTGGATCGTCGCCCCAACCTGCATAATGCTTGCGAGGAAGGATGAGAAGGAGGACCATATAGTCGGCACAAGTAAATACACCGGTACCGCAAGAACGGCGCATATAACACCGGCGATAGTAAAGTAACAAGCATACTTCCAAGCGGTGTTATCATTGAATAACCTCTGGTGAGCGACAAGCATGGCCGTGGAGAGGCCTAGAAGTTGAAGTATCGTGTTTTGGATTTGCACCCAGAAGTCCGAATCTCCGGTAGAGCCTGGCGTATTGGGTGATCTAGACCAGGCCATACCCATGGGTATGAAACTTAACGCCACCACCGTAAAGACGATGAAAATGAGCGTCGACATCTGAAAGGTAGGTGGTGATTCCTGATGAATCTCTGGCACCGAGCGAGGCTCTGGTAGTATGGGGTACGCTTCCTCGTACTTCAAGAGCATATCTCTCTTCGCGAGAATAGCTTCGCAGTGATGATCGAACCCGGAAGCCCGAAGCTCTTTTTCGACAAGGTTGAAGCTATTCTCTACCGTGACTCGGCAGTTCTTAAGATCGACGGCTCGGTTCCTCGCCTTTTCCAGATGTTTCGGTGTCTGGTGCTTCGATAGACTCCTCAAATACGCCATGTTCTCAGCCGCCCGCTTCCATATATCGATATAAGACTTTTCGCCCAAGTTTGCCAGTAGTTGCCAAGCAACAGACTGATCTAATGAGAGGTAGGTTTTCATAACTTCGTCCAATGTTTGGAGATCATCGTTGTTAAATCTTGTCGACTTTAGGTTGGAACTAGACCGGGTCCGTAACTTATTTCGCCATCGTAAATATTCATCGACAATAGATTTATATTGGACGTTCGCGCTGTGGACGGCCTGAACTATCGAGACCAGGCCCAGGCGACAGTCATTTGATAGGTTATCGCTGTTCTGGGTGTTGCTCGATGGTGCTACATTTCAAGTTAGTTACAATAGCTATCGGCTTCTCAATAGAGAATAAGCAACGTACGCATCCACCCCTGAGCGCTATTAGGGGATGGTCTCCGCTTCCTTTTCATTCTTTTAGGATGAGTCCCCTGTCTTTGGAGAATGGTTGATCCCAATTGATTGGTAACAAGGACGTCCATTCTAAATTGAAGTTCGCGGTCACAACATTGATCCGCAAGTCGCGTCTTATTTTCGCGTAAATAATTGTTAGTTTCACGCGTCGGATTGGGGTCTATCATATCATATATGTGCCTCTTAATGTAGGTGTGTTACATTGCATATGATTGTGGGCTGTGATTCGTCTTGTTTTCGGACCTGTCATCATCTCCCCGATGAGAATCACCTCCATCCCACCGTATTAAGACGGCTGGATGTTCTATCGACGCACACTTCTATCTTCTAATTTTTAAGTCTTTATTTTTCTATTATGGGTTCTAAATTAGAATTAATCCTAAGCTCTATTACTTAGCTGCTGTAACGGACCTTGGCCTTTAGTTTTGATCTCAAGGTAACAATATTCCCGTAAGGATTTAAGGATGTATAACAGGAATATGACATGCAGTACATTTCCTGATCTCATCACCACGCCAAAATTACATGTTAAATGTTATTACTTTATATATACGACACTTTCCCATATAATTAGGTACTGGCCTCTAGAAGTCTCTGCACACTTGGAACGAATATATGAGTATATGGGTTTCGTATCATTTATTAATTTAAGTACAGCGCTCGGAGAGCTCGTGATGCGTTGACCACGCCGGTACTACAACTGATTCTAATATCGCCAAACATGTATTTGAACGATATATGATGGATGAGTCGAACGCCCCCGTCCGTTGTTCCTTCTTCCAAGTCAAGCTCCCTCTGCTTTATTCCATGGCGATCCATGTTAATTTCTAAACTGTGGCTCTGTTCCATCAAATACTCCAAAGCAGAATCGTGCTCAACTTCTGAGATCGTGCAGGCCGTTTGACTTATACAAACGGCAAAATATAGATATCCTGTAGAAAACTCCTTCGGTCTCGAAAATATGAGCACAAATCTTGCTGAATTCGATGAACCGAATCGCAAAACAAGACTACTGCCACTGGCTGACTTTTTGCTTATCCAGGGTGGATAGAAAGACGAGAGCTCGAACCCAGCGGATACTAACTCGTCTATATATAAGCTCATTGTCTCATGCTCCTTTTTGTTGGACTTTGGCCAAGATACCCGTGGCGGTGCTGTTAAGGGGTTCTCTCGTATATAGATAGGAGTTGTTGTCGCCTTCGTGACAAAACAGTTCCACAATAATGGCACGCGACTAAGGAAAAATAAGAATTTCGAGTTGTTAATAAGGGAAAATAGTTTGGCTCTTTGGATATGGAATGGTGGACTGCCCGGTGCCCGGCTGTAGTGATTCTTGTCCCCACCTTTTGTGTTAACCAACGGAACAACCAGGTGGCATCGGTAGCCATCTACGGTGAAAGCGCATCTGAGAATGGCCATAAATACACCAATTTTGGGATCAATAGGCCGAATGGGAATTGCCGTCTGTATTCCAATGTTGGTCATTGCAGAATGAGAAGTTGTTAACGGCACCTGAGGGCTTGTTTCGTCGCTTTCGAGACTCTGGAAACTGTGGCAATGAGTGAAGTCCGAAGGTGACCGAGCAAGGACATTGTCAGCATATATTTTGGGGCGTTCATTTAGTCTTAGGCGGTACCCCCAAGCCAATAAGCTATCATCATTGCGTGATTTTATGATTTCTTCTTGGAGACGTAGGAAGGCTTTATCTCCTTCGCCGTAAAGTAAAGGCATATTAACTTCGAGGAGACCTAGAAGACTATAGGCCACGTCTTCAACGCGCGTTGTTTTTCTGTTGGCGGCCCATGCTAACCGAGCTGCAGCGCAGAACTTTGAAAAGTCTCCGGTATCAAGGGCCTTCTTTGGGATATTTGTAATGTCAGAGAGAAGGGTGAGCAGACCTAACCGATTGAGGTACTTTTCTTGGCTAGGGAGCGCACTCGAGTTTTGACCTCGGTATGAATTCGCGGCTCGAATAAGCCGACCGACTTGAATTTGATTCCAAGTTTTGTCAAAGAATACCAATTCCATAGGCGCGAGTGTCTCCTGGAGCGTCCAGCCCCTAGTAAACCAGCGACTTCGTCGAAACTCGGAGGATAGCTCATATGGATCATCTTCTGCAGATACATCGGCTAGGTATATGTAGCATACCATGGACCTTTTATACCACTGGAACATCGAGTTGATACCTTCGGAAAGTTCAGCGCTGCTTGACTTGTCAATGCAACAAGTATCAATCCACACGTAGTGCAGACCATCTTTTGCCGCTTGCTGGCAACATCCTTCTATTTTTGCATAGCCATCTAGGATCTTGGGACCCCATTTCAAAAGATCTTGAAAAGTTATCTCATGTTTGCACCACGTATGAGACTATACCATTTCGTATTAGTATTTAATCACTACGCCCATCTCCCACTTGGGTTCACTACCCTTAAGTAAAGCCAAATGGAATAAATATCTGGGGCTTTCTGACAGAGATGAACTGGAGTTATACCCACTAGAATAGCATAGGGCGGGATGGAGTCACCATTGAATTCCTCCAGTTTTCTTGTATGAACATGGAGAAGCCGCATTGGATAATGGTTATTGCAGTTTAACAATCGGAAACCAATCTCCCCACACGGGAGGGAAGAAACTAGAGTGGAATATGAACATATTGAACAATTACTAGACCATGCTGTTTACCACCCTCACCGAAGTGAATATTCATGATTGGAGGCTTAGTCGACAGGTGTTCCTGCAACACAGCCACAGAAATAGAGGAGAGATCCTACCACTGCTGTGTGATGATCTTCGTAAACCAATCAGCTCTTCAGCCGGCAGAGCTGTCCGAGCTGAAAGTTTCAGGGGTTACGGTAGGACTGCATATAGGATTATTGGCTTACGATCTGGTTGATCCCCTCGTAGTGGAGTAGGTTACGTGCACTGCATAAAGCTCGAAGATGGGGGTATTCATTGGAGACCTGGAATCGAGCTTTAAAACACTGGCCATAGCTTGGAAGTATAACACAATCTATTATAAGGGAACGATACCTAAGTATGGTTGAATATACATGGTTACGCAATAGGGGTGAAGCCTCTGTCGAATGAGAATGGATCCCAAAACTCGGCTTATAGATGCAGTAACTATGAGAGCTTAATAGCAGATATGCCGAGGTAGCCCTCCAAAGATGTGAAGTTAAATCAAGCCTTCTTCTTCACCACCAGTAGCACACCCGATTCTGCTCTCTTAATAACCTCCTTCCCCTTTTCTACTCCCGCCTCGTGAAGCAATCGCTCAACCTTCCTTCTCATCAACCTCGCGATATCTTCCTCCGTCCCAGCCTTCTCCTGATTTTCCTGCCTCCATCTTTTCACCGTGCTCACCGTCCCCATCAAGGCCTCCAGCTTATCCAAGTCCACCTCCGGCTCCCCCACCGCGAAAAATTGCTCTCCTGGCAAGGCGCCCTCCTTCCCGGTTCCAAATTCTATCCGGGAAAATGATTCCTTGTCGAAATCCGCGACAGGAGGTTCCACACTCCATGGCAATGGTAGATCAACGTATAAGCCCTGGGATAGGAAACTCCCGGGAGCCATGTGCTTCACGAGATGTTCCTTCTGGAATGCGTGAACCGCGGCCTGGATCGCTGCGGGATTCGGAACACTATCCGCAATTTTCGCACTCGTATACGTCCACAGCGCCACGCTCCCACCCGGCTTCAAAACTTCCGCCGCCCTTGCCCAGAATGCCGGCATATTAAACCAATGGGCTGCAGTTGCGGCGGTAAGGAGGTCGATACTGCCGTCCGGAATTCCGGAGAGGTCTTCAGCAGCGGAGACTTCGAAGCGGATCGGCTCTCCACTTCCAGACGTCCCGCCAAGTTCCTTCGCGCTTGTAATCATGCCCTCCGAAGGATCAAAGCCGATAGCATGCTGGAAGCGCGTGCCGAGGGCGCGCACGGCGATGCCTGGTCCACAACCGACATCAAGGAGAGTGTCAACCTTACCGCCGGTAGATATATGCCGGCTAAGGATGGTGTTGTACAGTGTGGGGTGGTAATCCCGTCGGAATTGAGCATAGTTAGACGCTTCGGCGGGGGTAAAGGACCGGAAGGTGGTCTCCGGGACGGCCTCGGAAGACATTTTGGCGGGCAATGAGCAACGTTTAGATTGATTATAAAAATGAAAGAGTTAAGATGCTGAAATTGTGCAAAGTGAAAGTACTGCGATCTAATTTATAATATTATGTTATCGTTATATTAAATGATGCGTTAGTAAATTTCACGGTGAAGAGACTCCTTTTGATATAGCTGAGCGCCGGCGCTAATGAAATTCTCCGTGAACTCCGGTGGACATTAACTACCTGCCTACCGGTCAACATAGTACTCTGATCTACATCTTGATCATCTAGGTAACTTCGGCTCAAAAGGCGAAACACGGACTGAAAATGCTGCTAGTAAAATTGTTGCTAAGTGAAGAGGAAGAATTTGGAAATGAGAATTATGTCACCGGAATGTCGGCATGCAAGTATATTCTCCGGCGCGGCGCGGTCCTCCGGCACGGCCCTCCGCCCTACCTGTTCTTAAAGATGACGCACTCTCTAGGCGATGCACAATCGCATAATCCATTAAAGTGAAACTTATCAAAGACAAGTTGAAAGAATCTTCAATGGCGGCATCACACTTTGAGTTTCTCCCTTTGTTCTCTCACAATGCTATTGAATTATTCTTTCAGGACCAAGTCTTGTAAAACCAGTCAGCTGATGTAAAATGAATCCTAAGGCACAAAGTATTCACAATGACTATTGTAGCTCGTAATATAGTATTAAAACACTCTTAAGTTTCTAATATATATGAAATGTTCTTCAGAGCTACCAATTTCGCCCTACAGCTAGAGAGGACATACAGCTATAACACAAAAGAAGAAGAAAACCACCCATCACATCCCCAACATTACAGTACATCATGTCCGCTATAGACACCATCAATGCCCTCCACGCTGAGGCGTCGCGAATTATTCACATGGTCGGTCGAGCACCTACCCGCGCTGAGCAGAGCTTTGCGCTGGAGCTAGCTGACAAGGCTATGGAACTTGCTATCGAGGCCGGCTTCGACGGTCCCGCGATAGAGGCCTGCGAAGCCTTCCAGCGCCTTTGCTACGACTCTCTATTACGTTCCTACAGCTGGACAGACAACCACGAGCGTCGCATGTACGAGAAAAGCTCGTCAAGAACTCCTGTACAGCGTAAGCGGTCGGCCAGGATCTACAATGTCGACAAGGGAGAGCACATGCTCGAGGCTCTTGAGGCTGTCCATATTGGAAACTTGTTGAGTAACCGTACCTCGGTTGAACCAGATGCGTGGAATCGCAGGATTCGGTGGGTCGATGAAGTTATGGACCAGCCGATTCGTACGTGGGTTCATTAGCACGATAGCGTGCGAGCGTACTTGTAGGCATCAAGCCTGGAGCTTGTTGCTTGGCAGTGCGGATAGGTCCTTTTCTTAGCCTACTACATATACTTCATCTAAGGTAGGTTTAATTTAGTGCAATACAATCGGCTATATAGGAGTCTATTCGATATGTTTTACATAGTAATTATTATTTTTTAAAAAAATACATACGCATATCTGTTAGTGAAACGTGACTTAGACAATGTAGCTATACTCGGAATTTATAGCCACTTCTTTCTCTAATTACTTTCCCAGAGAAAATCTACTATAATACTTACGTGGCAATACGCTTGATGCCATACCATTCCTTAGGCATCGTTTGAGTATGGTTCCAATGATTACCCTTGACAACGCTACATCACATTCTAGAATCATGGTATCCCACTGGCGCAGCTAAATAAGGATACGCCAGAGCCTCACGATGATATCGACGTCGGACGAATTTTTGTCCGCCATCTTCAAAACCAGGTCTTGATCTAGTGTCCAACCAATGGGAACCCTGGCTCGATCGCATTCGGTTGATCGCCAAGCGCTGCGCCGCCGGGACTGGACTCTAATACTAGAACCAATGGAGAGGCTAGATGGTAGCGGGTGCGAAGAGAATCTGGGGATGGTGATAATTTAGTACTCGATCACTGTAGAATCACTTAACGGTAACCTTTGTGAATAGGCTACGCCAAGTTCACTTACTATGGGTTTTGCCTTTCCTAGAATATACGGCGGGATTGCCACGCGGCCTACTGTAAGAAAAAATGATAATGATGTTTCAGCTCTTGGGAGATATAATAGGGTCAATATCAACTATATTTATAGGTCCAAATCATCTTACGCCTTATCTTTAACTACCTCTGTTCATAGTTTCTTCTATATATACCATATTCAACTCTTAAGTTGCCGTATGTCCGCGGTTCAGAACCATCCCCTACGCTCCTTATAGATCTGCTTTATCTGCCTTCGTCTTCAAGCGATCTCGATAATTGCCAAATTTTCCATCCAGGCCATATCGTCACATCCTCCATTAGCAAAGAGTATACTCGAATAAAGCTACTAGGAAATTGAGGAAATATGTCGACAGGTCTCCCACCAGACGTACCGCCATACACCAAGGTCTTCGGGCCTGGTGCCAACTGTACTCTAGAGATATGCCCCGTGGAGATAAGCGTGTATGGCTACGCGCCTAGTCTCGCTGCCAACGTCGTCTTCCTATGTCTGTACATCCTTTCTGCATGCATACATGTCTACCTGGGGATTCGATGGAAGAGTTGGTTCTTCATGGGATGTATGGTTCTCGGCGCCGTCAATGCCACTTTGGGCTACGCAGCTCGGATTTCCATGCATTACAACCCGTTCAACTTTGCGGCTTTTATGATTCAAATCAGTTCGTCTCTTCTCCCCGTACCGTTGCTGTCTCCGTCGGGGTATTAACTACGATATGATAGTTTGTGTTACTAGTGGTCCGGTCTATTATTCAGCTGCTATCTATGTGACACTCGCAGCGGCGTAAGTAACGGCCCTAATGCCTCTCAGTCTCTTTCAAATACACTACGACCTGTCGATTGTCTTCAATTCACTAACTCGTACATAGCATCAAAGATTTCTCTCCTTCACTTTCCCGCTTTAGACCCGACCTTTTCTACTGGGTCTTCATTCCATCCGATGTCGTCTGTTTGATATTCCAAGCGGCCGGGGGTGGTTTATCTACTGCATCATCAGGCACGAGCGAGATTGGGGTAGACATGGCGCTTGTCGGTCTTAGTCTGCAAGTAGCCATGATGGTGATCTTCTGTGGCCTCTTTGGAGATTACTTGATTCGCTACTTCCGCTCTACCCAATACCAAGCAGACCTAGGAAGAAACATATCCGGTTTGGATTTTGGAACTAGACTAAAGGTCTTCTTTAGCTTGATGACATTAGCTATAATGTTGATTTTAGCTCGATGCACGTACCGGCTTGTCGAATTGCGTGAGGGGTATAGGGGTGAGCTTATTCATGACGAGTCTTTGTTTATAGGCTTGGAGGGAGTGTAAGTTCCCATTTGGCGTAGTTAATAGTATTATGTTACATGCTAATCATTTGTTATAGATTGGTTATTTCTGCCGTGTATTGCCTCATGATTGCTCATCCCGGATTTATCTTCAAGAAGAGTCAACAAATTTTGTTGAATGTATCTGGTTCGGATGGTTACGAGTTTCAAAAGGTCCCTTCTCAGACGCCCGCCTCAGCATAATCGATACTTTCAACTGCGAGGTTCGAAGTTTAGACGAGACATATCATCTGCCGATGCCTTAAGAGCCGCATCAAACCCCAGCTCTCACTTTTCATTTCTACAGATCATATAGTCTTTGTACACCTAGCTCTGTTTATGTTATCTCCGGTTCCATTCGAATGCCACTGTTAATAAAATTAAATTCGCATAGACTTAAATAGTATTCAACATGATCCGTTGCGTTATAAGTTGAAATTGGACACAAATTTTCATCGTCTGGGAAGCTACGATTCATCCAATTCTCGATTCAATTCTCGATTGGTCTAGTGGTCAGGATACCTGCTTGTCATCGCACAAGTACGCAGGTGGCCGGGGTTCGATTCCCCGATCGAGAGCATCTTTTTGTTTCTTCGGTATAAGTTTGTGGGGGCATCAAGTCCATGTGGGTTCGGATCCCACTATAGTTGCCCTAATTTTCCCAGCTATAATAGTCGATACCTTAGGTAGGTAAATAAGTTTGCGAAACTATCCATTTTACCCGGTGTTTCCAGGGTTATCCTTTGTTATCTTTTCAGTAAAAGGACAGTTGATGCGGTATAGCCTGTTAATTACTCCATTGTAAAGGGTCTTTTATATCAATGTCACACGGACAATAATGCCAAGAGATTGTTGGTTGGAGAAAATAATTAATAAAAAATATAAGATAATTATTTCAGGATTTATTAAATAAAAAATATTACAAAATCATATAATTATATATAAATAAAGTTAATATATTAATAAAGATTTAATTAAATTAAAAGATATATATTTTAAATTATTTATAAATAAATTAAAATTTTTTTTTAAAAAAAAAAAAAAAATTAAAAATTTTAAAACTTTAAAAAATTATTAATAATTTTAATTATATTTTAAACCTTTTATAGCTTTTATTATAAATAATTTTTTATTATTTTAAAAAGATTTGATATTTTAAAAGAGCAACACTAGCTCGGCAGTGGGGGGGGCCCTATTCAGGCAGTAGCCACAGTCAAAGTGGGGCAAACTAAAGGTACGTCTCCCACCATACAACTTTTCTAGTATCTTTTTGTACCTCATGTTCATTTTTCTTGTATATGCACTACAATTCTTACATAACGCCTTTCGACCAAATGCGCGCCCTCCTATTGGCTAAATCCCACACCGCCTGCCTGGCAATACCCTTATCTCGCACCTTATCTCGTGGCCTCTTTTGCGTCCTCTTGTACGGCCTCTTATTCAATTTAATTCAATTACGTCGATTTAATTCAATTTAATTATGATGTAAGGCCCTTAGATCTAATTATAGATATTACTATTATTCGGTCGCATGCAATCATTCGGAGGTAAAAGGGCTGAAAACAACGTTTTTATTGTATAAGGCTAAAAGGCTGGTTGACAGGATAGACACAGGCTATGCGATTAGATTAGATATGAGGCTAGCTAATAAAAAGGCGTGCATCTTGGAGAACTGGGGATTACGCGGGGTTGGCATGAAAGGTATATGTGTATGCCAATAAAATTGTATGGGAATACATGTAGTACTTGTGTGACTCCCGCGTGACCCCCGGTTGTGGCTGGACGATGTGGCTACTGCCTGAATAGGGCCCCCCCCACTGCCGAGCTAGTGTTGCTCTTTTAAAATGGTATATATATTTTGGATTATTATTTATTTTATTTTATATTAAAATTTTAAATTAAAATTTAATAAAATTTAAAAAAAACCTTTTATTATTTTTTTTTATTAATAATCTTTTTTTTATTTTAGTTATTTTTTTTTTACCATTATTATTTATTAAAAAAAAAACTAAATTAAAGTATTTTTTTATATTAAATTTTATATTTTTAAAAATTATTTTCTTTTTTATTTAATTAAAAAAAAAGTTTACAAAAAAACTTAAAAATTTTATATTTTATAAATATATAATTAAATTAATTTTTAATTAAAACTTTTTTAAAAAATATTTTTAAAATAAATATTAAAAATATTTTTTAATTTAATTTAATATTTCGGAATTATTTTTAATTTAAATCGATAATATAAATTTAATATATTTTAATAATAATTATATTTTTATTTTATATAAATTGTAAAATTATAAAATAATTATATAAAATATATTTAAAATTAATATTATTAATTTTATTATTATTAATTTATTTAATTAATTAATTTAATTATATGGATAAATAAAAAAGATTTATAAATCTTTTTAATTTTTTATATATTTAATAAATAAAAATTATAAAAATAATTAAAATTAATTTAATTAATAATATTAAATTTTATAAATAATATATAATATTATAATATAAATATATTAAGTTAATATAATAGTTTTAATTAAATAAATTATTTAATTTAAATAATAAATTAAATAATTTAATTTAATATTTTTTTAAAAGGTTTAAAAAATAATTATATATTTTTTCAATAATAATAAAATATAATAAATAATAATTATTAAATTAAAAAATATTATCCGAAAATAATATAAAACTTTTTTAAATTTTTAAGTTTAATAAAAGTTTTAAAAAAATTTATTAAAGAAAATAATAATTTAAATTATTTAAAAAAAAGGTTAAATTAATAATTTTTTAATTTAAAAATATATTAATTTAACGTATATAAATAAATGTTTCCGGGAATAGTTAAAAAAACTTTAAGTTTATATAAAAATTATATTAATTAAGTTTATTTTAAAATTGGTAATTAATTAGTTTATTTTTATAAATTTAATTTTATAAAATATTAAAAAAAAGGTAATATTAAAATTCTTTTTTAATTAATTTTTTTAAAATTATTAATTAATAATAATAAAAATATTTTTGTTTAAATATTTTAATTTAAAAGTTAAAATTAAAGATATTTTATTAATATAAACGTTATAAAATGTTTAAGTTAAATAAATTTCGGAAAATATTTATATTTAATTTAAAAAAATATATATTAAACCTTTTATTATATTAGAAAAAAATGGATAAAAATTAAAATTATTTTATATATTAGTAAAAATTTTAAGAAAAAATTTAAAAAGTTTTAGTAATAATAATAATAATTAAAGACTGTAAAATTTATTTTGAAAATTATTTTGCAAGTTTTTATTTTTAAGATTTAATAAGTTTAAATAAAACCTAAAATTTTAATATATAAATAATACCAAAAAACGATTATTATAAATATTGGAAAAGTTTATTAAATTTATTTTTATAATTATTAATTTAATATATTTAAATAAACCATTTATATATAATAGTAAAAATTTTATTAAATTTTAAATTTAATAAATAAAAGTTAAATTATATTTAAAAACTTATGTAAAAAACTTTTTTAAAAATTATATTTATATTAATTAAATAAAATTATTATTTATAAATAAAGTTTAATTATAATATTAATAATATTTTAATTAAATTAAATAATTTCATTTTATAAATCAATACATTAATTATATATTAATTTTATAAAAATAATTTAAAGATTTTTTAAAAAAATATAAAAACTTAAAAAAAATATATAAATTTAAATATATAAAAAACGTAACTTAATATATTATAAAATTTTTAAACTTTAATAAAATTATTTAATAATTTAAAATTATTTTTTAAAATTATATTATTAAAATTCTTTTTAATAAAATTATTAAATTAATATATTTTAAATAAAATAAAATTTTAAATAATAATAAAAGATTTTTTACTATAATTTAAAAAATTGGTTAAATTTATAAAAATATATTAATTAATTTAAAACTTTTAATAATAAAAAAAAGGTTTATTTTAATAACGGAATATTTAAAATTAAATTAATAAAATTGTAATAAAAAAATTTATTTTAATTTAAATTAAAATTAATTTTTAAAAAATAAAAATTAATTTAAATTTACTAATAAACCAAAATTTAATTTCAAAAATAATTAATAAATTTTAAATAAAGAAATTTTTTAAAGAATTAATTAAGTAAATATTAATTAATATAAAAAAAATAAAAAAAATATGTTAATAATATAAACGTAATATTTATAATATTTTTATTTATTTTATTAAAAAAAATATTAATAATAAAAAATTATTAATATCCTTAAATTATAAAATTTTTTTAACTAAATAAAAATATAATAATAATAAATAATTAATTTTTTTATTTATAAAAAAATTAAAATAAATATAATAATAAAAAAAATTAATTAATTTTACTTTATTACTAAAATTAATAATAATAATTTGGATTTTTAAAAATCTTTTATATTATATTTTATAAAATATTAAAACAAAAATAAAATATTTATTTATACCAATTCGCCGTAACCAAGCAATTAGCCAAAAAACTTAATAAATCACAAAAAAAAAAGTAAAAAAAACCTTATTTAAAAAAAAAAATTTTAATAAAAATAATATTAATATTTAATAAATAAAAATTTTTTATAAAAATATTATTTAATATAAAAATAATTATACTTATTATATTTATATTTAAAGATAAACTATAAAATTTTTTTAAAATAAAAAAAAATATACCAAAAATAATTATATCTTTTAATATTATTTATATAAAAAAAGAAAATTATTATTATATAAATTCTTTAATATTTAAATATTAAACCAAATATTATACTTATTTAAATTTTAAATTTAATATTATAAATAATAAATATAATTTTATTTTTTTATAATAATAATTAAAAATTTATTAATTTATAAATATTTTTTCAAATTTAAATAAAATATATTTCTTATCTAAATATTACCAATGCCATTATATAAAAAAAATTATTATTAAATATATTATATTAATATAATATAATTATAATAATCTTTTTTTAAAAATATTTAAAAAATTTAAAAAATTTATACTTATAATAAATAAAAAAATTAGAAAATACTTTTTTAAACATTAACTATAAAATTATATTATTAATTTAATAAAAAAAAAAATACCTTTATAAAATCCTTTTTATATTATAAATAAAAAAAAACTTAATACTTTTAAATTATAATTAAAAAATATATTTAATATAAAACGTATTTATAAATTTACTTTTTTTTATATATCTTTAATATTTTTTATATTAAAACCTAATTTTAAAAATCCACTTTACTTAATAATAAATTATTAAAAATTAAATATAATAATAATATTTATATATTAT